CATCATTCAAAAATCTCATGAATATAATTATCAATCCGATGAACTAAATCACCCTTCTATTTTTTTATATGATTCATTATTTTTTTTATTATCTCATTTTGACTTTTATTTTTTCAGTCCATCATATTCCATCTCATTTTTAGTAACCAAGGACTTATATTTTATCTGAAATATTTATAAATATACGTAAAACAATTTTTTTGGAAGATCAAAAGGCACAAAGTCAAAGAAAATACGTTCGACGGCATTCACTGCACTACGTGGCACTACTTGATATAGAATTATTTTAAAATTTAGTTAGCATACAAATAAGTATTGGTTCTAGTAAAAAGGATTATAGCTGGTCTTAAATTTGAGTTTATGTAAATGTGGAGAATGCTTCTACAAGAGCTACCTTCAATTAAACCAAACAATACTTAAATATTTAGTTATATAACTTATTAAAAAAAATAATGAGTGCATTTCATCCCGTTAGCCGAGCCCAAGCATATCACAATTGAATTTGGTGACTAATTTTCACGAAGCGTGATTGTGAAAATAGAGGCAGCTTCAACCTTAAGCTATCGTGCTGGTTATGCGAGTAGTTAGGCCAAGCCTTTTGGAAAAAATAATTGGAGGCCCACATTAATTGTGAACCATCAGGCCCATGTTGTGGGCCGAGCCCGCTAAGCTATGAGTTGTATTCTGCCTTTTTTTTTTTTAATAAGTGTACACAATTACATAAGATTACCTGTTATTTTAAACATGTCGATTTCAAAATTATTTATATTCTATGATCGCATTGAAACAGACACTTCTTAATTTGCACTTGTGAGTGATTATTTTATAGGAAAAATGTGTCAGAGGATGTTGATTTGAGATTGTGAAGCCAAGACATTTCTCTCCAATCCTATGTCTATCTTGACATATCATTTTTTAATTAAATAATGAACTAATTAATTATAAAAATATAGACAAAATTTACTGGCATGTTTTAAAAATAACAAATCAATCCCATTATACGTGAAATAGAAATATTTAATTTAATTAATCCTCAAATAAATAAAAAAAATTTACAAATAAAGAGATAAATTAAATTTAAAATTGAGTATTATAATCTAATTCTCAATACAAGATATAAAACCTATAACAAGTCATGCTATTAATAAATTATAAATAACATAATTTAGCCCACGTTTTATGAAATATATCAGGAAACATATATCTTGTTGTTATCTAAAAATATTCACTGTACTGCTGACGTATAAATATTTATCAAAGTATGTAATAAATTATAAATAATATGATTTGTCTATGACACTTTATATAGTAAAAATATATATGATTACAATCAATATATATATATATATATATATAACATCAAGGTTGTACAAAGGATAAGACTTGATTTTAGCCGAATTCAAAATTTAGTTTTTTTCATAAAAAATAGCCCAATTTGGCCTAATTATAACCTGTAAATTAACAGGACCAGATTTAATCAATAAAATTAGGAAACTTGCCCTAATAGTCTAATACAATCACTTAGTTTTTTTCCCCCTTTATGAGAGGCAATAATTTATATTAACATAATAAATTTAATTAAGATAATAAAAATACTCATAATTATGAAGAATCTAGAACAATCTCCGACAACAATAACAATAAATATTTCAATTATAACAAATTATTTAAATTTATAACTTCAACAACAAACAACAACATTTAACAAATTTTAGTAATATGTCTAATTTACATTACAACAACTATATGGTAGCAAATTAAAGTAAAATTATACTAAATAGACAGGTGAAATATGAACGAAGGAAATGTTATGTTCAAATTTCAAACTATTTAAATATATTAAAAATAATTAAAATTATATTAACATAATTTCATAGGATCAAATTAAGTTATTTGAGAGCTTAGTTTCATGTTCAATCCAATCTGATGAGATAGTTTGGCTTTTTCAATCTCTTTAATTCTTTGAATCAAATATTTTTTTTTTCAAACTGGGCTGGATTAAATTTTTTCAGATCACACTAGGTTGGATAAAATAATTGAACTTTTGCACAGTCGTATTAATATTAACATGCAACGCGTCGCAAAAAAGGTAGATGATGCAAGTCGGGTCAGTGGAATCTCCGTTGTGTGTTTGCTGTAAGCTGACCAAAAATGAAAGGTTACTTCCATCTTGTCAACCAAATATTTTCACGCCTCTCCATCGTTGTCGTCCTTTCTTTCTTTTTCCTTCTAAATGCAAATAGAGAGGGGTAAAAAAGCAGCTCTGTTTCCGATTCTTACACATCCATTCTTCAATTATTAATTTTATTGCTATTCGATCACCATTATGACTTCTCTATAATTCATTCTTATTTTCTCAATGATTATGTCAAATCCACGTACTTTTTTTTTTTTATAACAAAACAGAGAAACAAATCTATGCTGGTTTTTTAAAAGCAGAGACACCTTTATTCTGAATTTAAATCACAAAGAATGCACAAGATTGTGGAGTGAGAGTGAAAAATGAATAAGGAAAATATTTGCGTTCATCATTTTTTATGCATGTTTTTCAATAAAACATCACTTGGCTCAGTTTGTTCCGAAAGGAGAGAGCTTTTTACCTGCAACATCCTTATTGTTCATAGATGATGTCCTCTTTATAATTCTCAGTCAAAAAAAGAATTCATAATTTTGTAAGACTTTGTTGGCTTTTATTATATATATATATATTGTCTTATTTATAAATCAGTAATTTAAAAATTGGACAGAATTGGATGGTTAGACTGGTCATGCTAACAGATTGGTCAAGTAAAAAAAATTGTTCGAAAAGTTGAGCCAAATTGGGCTGCTTTAAATAAATGGTTGGATCGAGAACTGGAATCAAGTCAAAAATTGATCCCGGTTTTCAAAAATGAATTGTTCAAAAAATGCCTCTTTTTTTATTTTTTTGACAAATTTTTTAGTAGAAAATAATCAATTTTTTTAATCATTTGATATTATATTATATTATGTGGTTTATTAAATCATGATAAACTTAAAATATTTAATTTTATTTTTAAGTTAAGTAGTAATTTCATATTTATTTCTTATATTTAAATTATTATATAAATATATAATTTTTTAATTTAATTATTACGTTATCGATTTAACCGTTGGTTCAACTTGATTAGATCATACGAACCGTAAATCGCTAACATTTCTGTTCAATATCCAGTCCAGTTCTAAAAATATTGTTATATATTACTTTTAACATGTTTATGCTAAACTAAGAAAACTTTAAAATTAATTTTGTTTAAAAAATTAGTCAGTTCTTAACTTTACCTTTATTAATATATATCCTTTAATAACATAATCCTTCTTGTTTTATTACTAGGTACTTCCTAGAAGAAACTTTTGGTCCTTAATAGTATAAGACACTCTATGGGATCTTGACTATTTTTTTTTCTAATATTACTCATATTTAAATTCATCAACTTTAAAAAATAATATGATGCGAATTTGAAAATTTTTTATTTAAATAGGTGTAAAATTAAAAGTTTATTTTATTTTTAGATAAAATTAATAGTTTAACTATCTCTCCTTAATTCTAATAATATAGTTGGAGGGCATTATAATAAGGATAAGAGAGATTATCTTTTCTCACTAACATTTAATTGATTGTAAAAGAAAAAATTATGATAAAAAATTAATGACATTATTTATAAATAGAATAAAAAAAATTCTTCCATTAAAGATGATGTGAGGGGGTAATTTAGTATTATATAATATTTTTAAATATCTGTCTAAAAATACACCTATTTAATAATTTTCCCACACGGAGGGAGTGACTAAGCTTTGTATGAAAAATAATGATTATTTTTATTAACATGAGAAGAGACTAATTTGCTATAACATAAGCATAACAAACAATCCTATCTAAGAGAGATACCCATGTCCAATCCTAGGCCGTCTCCGGAATAATTTATTTTTAAACTACAATAAATACTTTGTTTTTTTGGCCAACACAATAAGTACTCCCTCCGGTCCCATTTATAAGTCCCATTTTAAAAGGTGTATTTGGTCTCATTTATAAGTCATGGTGCGTTTTTTTAGGTAATATTTGATAGGTATTTCCAAAATTACCCTTCATGAGAGAGAAAAAATAACAGGACATTACTTTTTAGATTTGTTATATAGGGGCATGTTTGAAATTTTACTTACTTTATTCCTTGTACTTTTATTGTATTGGTATTGATGAGGTTGGTAGAAATGACTTATAAATAGGACCGGATGAGTACTAATTAATAGCTTTAGAAGTGGCGCAGAAACAGCGGGACCCACATATCTGAAAAAGAGTAAATATATATGCCCACGCGCCAAAGCTGGCAGGTCATTAAAGCCTCAAAAGTGTAAGGTGATCTACAGAAGAATTCCAAAGATCAATCAAACAATAATTCCATATCTCGATTCTCGAATATTAACCAATTACTATTATTCTCCAATAAGCAAATTGCCTACCATGCCTAAGTCCTAGGGTTCTGAATCTTTCTTCCTTTGACTTCCTAACCCTGCAAAACCCCAAGCCACGTGGATCTGTCGTGTCCGTACCCTAACGCCGTTACTTCACGGGCTCTTTTCAGAGTTCTGACACCGTAACCTACTCATTTTCTTACACTTGCCACGTGTCCAAGAATCCCTGTTCACCTCATTACTGAGTTCCCATTCGTCAGACATTGACCAATAATACGTTGACACGCATGGAGACTGACACGCGGTGATGTTTGATTGCACCTGCTGGGGCATAACCTTAGATGGCAGTTAACTTTTTGAGAGATATTTATCCAGGGTTCTAGAACGACCCGATCGAGACCCAAGTCTGGACCCGTGAAATCATCAATCTAAAGTTTTAAGCCTTTAAGCCCGAAAATCTCGTCCAGTTCAGTGTCTCCAGGCCCCCAGTTTCGCAGTTCCGAGCTCCAGGTTCCGATTACCGAAACATTCAATCCAACCTGTACTCCCAAAAAACCTTAAAAAAGTTCAATTTTTCTTGGGGGCAAAAATTAATTATTAACTAATCAACTTGCAGTCTTCTTGTTTTAGTACAGTAATAATAATAATTCATTTTATATTTTGTGCTGCTATCTCGTTCTTCTGTGACTCCGAGTCTTCTGTCTCTGTCGCTGCGGGTCTATATTCAACCAAAAGAAGCAACAGCGGCGAGAAGAAGAGGCAGAATTCAGATACGGGTAATTGAAAGCTGAAATATAATGAAAGGGGAAGAGAGATAGCGAGGCGGTGTGGAAGAGATTCTGAAACTGTGGTGTTTGTGTGTGCACGCACGTGTAGTCCAGGAAAGGAAAAGGGAAAGAGAGCAGAATAGGCGTTGATAGACCGTGGAATCTTATGGAATCGCACGCAGAATTTGTGATTTTAGGGTCAGGGGTTTTTGCTTTCAGTCTTTTCTTGAGAGACTAATTCCCCCTTTCTGCCCATCACTCTTTTGCGTGCTTCGTACGGTCTATCTACCCTCCACTCTGCTTAAACTTGTATACTCCTTGATCCTTGCTGTAGCTCTCACCCCGAAAGGCTTCGTCCTTTCTATTGGCAATCGCTTTGCCTTTCTCTATCCCTTTTTTTCCCTTTTATTTTTCTGTTTTATTTACTTCTCTTGTTTGTTGTTAGTCAATTCAACCGAGTAATTTAAAGAAATGGAGGATGGGGGTATTAGGGTTTCAGGGGCAATTGAGGATGACCCAGAAGTTACTCGCTCCTCTCCCTCCTATTGGCTGGACGCTTGTGAGGACATTTCCTGCGATCTCATTCACTTCGATGAGGGGTCCCTAGTCTCGGAACAGGTCGATAACAATTTGATACAGGATGGACTGGTTAACGATTTCTTCGGCGGCATTGATAGCATTCTTGACAGTATCAAGAACGGAAGTGGCCTCCCTTTGGCCACTGAGGCTGGAACTGGAAACCAAGACGGTGCGTTGGTACTGCAAGCTGAAATCTTTGATCAGAAAGATAATTTTGTGAAGAATGGGTTGGCTGGTGAAAAACACGGTCGTGCTGTTGAAGCGTGCGAGCGTTCAGAAGCTGAAAGTAATGGGTATAAAGTATCTAATGGCAATGAAGAAGGGAGAACTTTGGGTGATTCTAAGGAAAATGGAGGTGGCGATCTATCTAGGGAGCATCATGTGGATGGTGAAGAAAGATTTGGCAAGAGGGCTCGGCTTGGCAGTTACAAGAGTGAGAGGCTTTATCCTGGCAGAGGGAATTACCACCCCAAGGAAAGGGAGAGGTGTCCTAATAGAAAGAGGCCCCGGGAATGGGATGAGGTTGATAGGAAGGAAAAAGATAGTGTCAGGAGAAGAGAAAATTTTAATGGTTGTGGTAGGAGAGATGTTAGAGACAGGGATTGGAGGGATAGAGAAAGGGGTTACTGGGAGAGGGACAAGTCAGGTTCCAATGACATGGTCTTTCGCTTAGGCACTTGGGAAGCTGATCGAAATCGAGAACTTAAGGTCGCTAATGACACTAAACAGGAATTCAATGGAAAGATTGAGACGAAAACTGAGGAGCCAAAGGAGAGAGTTCCTGAGGAACAAGCTAGAAAGTACCAGTTGGATGTTCTTGAGCAGGCAAAGCAGAGAAATACTATAGCTTTTCTTGAAACTGGGGCAGGAAAGACCCTCATTGCTGTTCTTCTCATTAAAAGTATTCATGAGAGCTTACAAAAGCAGAATAGAAAAATGCTTGCAGTATTTTTGGTTCCCAAAGTACCACTTGTTTATCAGGTAATATAAATTTGGGACATTAAAATTAAAATTTAATTTGTGAAAAGATAAATATTACTGTAGGGATTGGTGTAATTTTGGTAGTCCAATTTCAGCAAGCAGAAGTAATTCGAGAACGAACTGGCTACCAAGTGGGTCACTACTGTGGAGAAATGGGACAGGACTTCTGGGATGCTCGAAGGTGGCAACGTGAATTTGAAACGAAGCAGGTATGCTTTGAAATTCTGTCAGGACTTCTGATACTTTGTATTTTAATTTGGGTTTCTGTCCATTAACCAGGATATCTTTTCATTCAGTTCAGCATAACATTCCACTTAAGCTCCAACTTGCTAATTTTTCCTCAGAGCTGCCTTTAATTATGTACACTCAATTTATCTCTATGGTTGGCTAAAGTTTTTACTGAACATTTTCCTTATGGAAAATAAGTTTGATTTGTGGCCTTTTTATATTGATATGTTTTTCAAATGGCTGGAAAGACTTGCTGATGTAGTAAAATTATATTAAAAAGTAAGTTTGAAGCAAATGCTGCATGGTTACTTCTTTAGAGTTTAGGTATATAACTGGGAATATCATGGAAAAAGATTAGTTGATGCATTTATTAAAACTTTACCTACTTGGTTTCTAATGGAGACCTAGCCAAGCAAGGAGAACCCACGCATGATGCTACACTGGTTTCCAAGTAACATTACCTATTAAATCGTGGAACATGTCTCCAAAATTTGACCAAAACATTTGCCTATTTTTCTCAAATTTTCTTAACTTTTGCCAAGTTGAGTTTGACCTTAAAATTTGGGATATTTTTTTCCTACCAATAATTCACTTTTCAGAATTTATGTTGGCATTTTGATAAATTTGTACCTGAAGCTTTTTTTTCCTTGCTCAACTTCCAAGTCTTGCCTTATTTCCATAGTGCCTTATCCGGTAGATTTTGTCATTATTATTTGTGTTGCTTTGGCTCTGAATTTTATTAAGACAATTTTTTTGGTCATAAGCTTAGCTGGCTATTCAGTTTTATCTTAATTGCTAGTGTTATTCCTGAGCCTCGTGTGTTTATACTTGTACTGCAATGACCCAGTTGGTTATTCTTGCTTTAGGTTCTAGTCATGACAGCTCAAATTCTTTTGAACATTCTGAGGCACAGCATTATAAAAATGGAAACAATCAATCTCCTGATTCTGGATGAATGCCATCATGCTGTGAAGAAACATCCTTATTCACTGGTGATGTCTGAGTTCTATCATACAACACCTAAAGAGAAGAGACCAACTGTATTTGGAATGACTGCTTCTCCTGTTAACTTGAAAGGTACTCTTAACATGGGCTTTCATGCTGTCATTAATTTTTTCTTGCAGTAGAGGGATGGGTTTTTTTTTTTCGTCCATGTTTGGTCTTTTGCCTGTTCGAACCTGCAATCTTGCAGTTTAGTTCATAGCATACCAGCAATCAAGCTGCAAGTCTTCAAGGCTTATCGTCTTTTAGAGAACACAATACTTCCATCTGATTGCTATAGTCATCGTTGCTCTTGATTATGGCATATTCAGGTGTATCCAGCCAAGTGGATTGTGCAATAAAAATTCGAAATCTTGAAAGTAAGCTAGATTCTGTAGTTTGTACTATTAAAGACCGTAAGGAGCTGGAGAAGCATGTACCAATGCCTTCTGAAGTTGTGGTGGAGTATGACAAAGCAGCCAGTTTGTGTTACCTTCATGAGCAGATAAAGCAAATGGAAGTTGAAGTTGAAGAAGCTGCAAAGTCAAGTTCAAGAAGAAGTAAATGGCAGTTTATGGGAGCTAGAGATGCAGGAGCCAAAGAAGAGCTCCGTCAAGTATATGGTGTTTCTGAAAGAACAGAAAGTGATGGAGCTGCAAACCTGATTCAGAAATTGAGAGCTATCAATTATGCACTTGGCGAACTGGGTCAGTGGTGTGCTTATAAGGTGAGTTCTGTTGTAAGGATAATGATTGATCATTGATTTTTCCTGGATTTCTTTATAATTTCTATTTCTTTTACAGGTTGCACATTCTTTTCTCTCAGCTTTGCAAAATGATGAGAGGGCAAACTACCAACTTGATGTCAAGTTTCAGGAGTCCTATCTGAATAAAGTGGTGTCTCTTCTACAATGTCAATTGTCAGAGGGTGCAGCGTCTGACAAGAATGCTGGAGTTTCTGACTCAGAAAGTGGTATGGCACAGGGTGGTTCTGAACCTGATGAGATTGAGGAAGGGGAGCTTCCAGACAGTCATGGTGAGATTGACTGTTGAAACTTTGTAGTGCCTTGGGGCTTCACTATTACGTGGCTATGGTTCATTGTTCAAATTTGTCAATTTTCTTGACAGGCTGAAAGTTTCGAGAAGTTCCTTTTCTTGTTTCTAGAGTGTGTAAACATTTTGATGAAAATGCTGTTGGACTAATCTTTGAGAATGATCGACATAATAAATTATTATGATGGAGAGCCTGAATCTTTGCTGTGGCATTTGTGCTTGAACATTAAGGGGATAGTGTTGCTTATCAGTCTTGCTTTTCATTCAAGAATGTCAAAATGACTTCTAATTATCTAAAATCTCAAATGTGCTCTGTGATTGTTAATGTAACTCAGCAGCATAATGATTCCTCATTAATGTTTTTATCTTGACTTTTGTAATACCTACCACCTATTTGATTATCAATGCATAAGATGGAATATTGTTTGGTGTTTTACTTAAGCTAGTACACTTTCTTGCAGTTGTCTCTGGAGGGGAGCATGTGGATGTCATTATTGGAGCTGCTGTGGCGGATGGCAAAGTGACCCCTAAGGTTCAGGCTCTGATCAAAATACTTCTCCAGTATCAGCATACAGAAGACTTTCGCGCATCATATTTGTTGAGCGTGTTGTGTCTGCTTTAGTTCTACCCAAGGTTAAATAAAATATATACACCACTTTTAGGTTCATTTTGGTATATTCAGTTACTTGATCAAGATCCCACCAGTCCACTGTCTTTGAAACTTGCAGGTATTTGCAGAGCTTCCATCTCTGAGTTTTGTTAGGTGTGCGAGCTTGATTGGACACAACAATAGTCAGGAAATGAGGACCTCACAAATGCAGGATACAATTGCTAGGTTTCGTGATGGACGAGTAAGATCTTTCTTTTAATGAGGACCTCAATCAGTTCCTTGTAAAGGTTAGGATAATTTATTGGTTCTTTCTATCTAATTCTGGCACTTATTTGTAGATTACATTGTTAGTTGCCACTAGTGTTGCTGAAGAAGGACTTGATATACGGCAATGCAATGTTGTCATTCGCTTTGACCTTGCAAAGACTGTTTTAGCATACATTCAATCTAGAGGTCGTGCGAGAAAGCCTGGGTCTGATTATATCTTGATGGTTGAGAGGTATTATTTTTGATCTAATTGACTCTTGGCATTCTCTCTTTTTCAGGGTGTTGATTGACCATGATTTTGTATATTCTAATGAGCCTGATAGAACTGAAAATTCTGTCAGAGAAATTCCTTGTTTTTGGCTTCTGTTGGTTACTTTCCTCCCTCAAATTATTATTGTTACTGCTTGTCTCTTCGTTTTTAAACCAATGAGCTGCCAATGGAATAGCATTTGCTTTAATAATAAAATTGAAGGTTCAATTCTTTGCTGCAACCGCTGTAGCTGGTAAGAGGTTACAACTCATCTTGATCGTGGAAAGAAACATCTTTTGCCTTCTTTTTCTTTTTCTTTTTCTTTTTTGGTACATTTGCTTTAATGATGTAACTGCTCTCAATCCTTTTGTTTTTTTTTCTTTCTTTCCCATATGCAGGGGAAACTTGTCTCATGAAGCATTTCTAAAGAATGCGAGGGATAGTGAGGAGACGTTGCGGAGAGAAGCAATAGAGAGAACAGACCTAAGTCATCTTGCGGACACTTCAAGGTTGATTTCAGTAGATACAAGACCAGGAACTGTTTACCAGGTGGAGTCAACCGGTGCAGTTGTGAGCTTAAATTCCGCTGTTGGTCTTATTCACTTCTACTGCTCGCAATTACCTAGTGACAGGTGCTGCCATTCTGCTTGATATTGATTATTTGCATTAGTAGATATTTTTGTGCTCAACTAGGGTTGTTTCTTAATGTCAATTTTGAATCCTGGTGCACCTGGACAGATATTCAATTCTTCGTCCTGAGTTTATTATGGAGAAGCATGAAAAACCGGGAGGTCCCACTGAATATTCTTGCAAGCTTCAATTGCCATGTAATGCACCATTTGAAAATCTTGATGGCCCTATATGCAGCTCAATGCGCCTTGCTCAACAGGTTTGACATCATTTCATCATAATTGGAATTCATTATAGTCATCTTTACACAAGAAGCAATGGTTATCACTCCCTTGTTTTGCAGGCTGTTTGTCTAGCTGCTTGCAAGAAGCTGCACGAGATGGGAGCATTCACTGATATGCTATTGCCAGACAAAGGAAGTGGAGAAGAAAGGGAAAAGGCTGAGCAAAATGATGAAGGAGATCCACTTCCAGGGACTGCTAGACATAGAGAGTTTTATCCTGAAGGTGTGGCAGACATACTAAAGGTTTGTTTGCTCTACAAATCACATAGTCTATGCTGTTATTTTGTAAACCTGGATATATGCTGGATGGCATCAGAGAATATGTACAAGCCACCTCAAATACAAATGCCAGTCCAGTATAAAAAGAAGAATCATTATTTATCTTTGGAAAGGCACATCTGGGTGCACTTACCAAATATTCCTGCCTTGTGTTTCTGCTCTTTTTCTCTGCTCTTTCTACCTGTTAGACAGTCGCACATCTATGTGAAAAGGTAGGTTTTTGTACTGAGTCCATGAAAAATAGTACGTTATTGTGGTAGTTCAGGAAAGTTGTGAGTGTCTGTTAGGATTTTCTGGGGGCAATATTTCTGGTGGGCTGTGACTGAAAGGAAGTTACAAATTTCAGGTTGGTGTTTGGGTATTTTGTGATTTAATAACCCTACATAAGTAGCTCTTGGAGTAGTTCATACTACTCAATTGGAATTTAGGCACCACATACTGATTTGGTCCCTTTCAGATGTCTAAGGTCAGATTTTTACTGGGTGCCAACTTTCCAGGGAGGGTTGTGTAGTGTTGAGCATTATTGATGAGACTAATCGTGGGACTTCTAACAGCTCAAGCTGTTCAGATAAAGTAATCCTTGACATGATATTAGACCTTCCTTAACTAAACAGCTGGGAGTTCAACCTTTGCCCTTGTCCTAACAACTTAATCTTTTCAGATGAAGTGGTCCTTGAGTTTATTGCTCTTCTTCCCAAATTTATTCTTGCTTATCTCCATCTGGATTTTCAGGGAGAATGGATCTTATCTGGAAAAGATACTTGCAGGAATTCCGCATTGCTTCATCTTTATATGTATGCTGTTAAGAGTGAAAACATAGGCCATTCAAAGGATCCGTTCTTGACTCAAGTTTCGGATTTTGCAGTACTTTTTGGCAGTGAGCTGGATGCAGAGGTAGTAATTCTTGTTTGCTTGTAAAAGTCCTGTCCATATATAATTATTTTAAAATGCTTTAACTCCCTCTGATCCTATCTTGTTTTTTGCAGGTGTTATCGATGTCGATGGATCTATTTATCGCACGGACCATGACTACAAAGGCATCCCTTGTCTTTAGAGGGTCAATAGACATTACCGAGAGTCAGGTTTGTAGATTAACTATTATGTATGGTTGTATTAGATGTCTTCAACTGTTAGAATTATTGTTGCTGATGACAAATTGTTGCCTTTTCTTTTTGGCATGCAGCTGGCATCCTTGAAAAGTTTTCATGTAAGATTAATGAGCATTGTCCTGGATGTGGATGTTGAACCTTCCACTACTCCTTGGGATTCTGCAAAAGCATATTTGTTTGTTCCAATGGTTAGCGATAAGTTTGTAGATCCTATGAACCAAATTGACTGGCATCTGGTTGAGACAGTGACTGAAACAGATGCATGGAAAAATCCACTTCAGAAGGCTCGACCAGATGTTTATCTTGGCACAAATGAGAGAACTTTAGGTGGAGATAGAAGGGAATATGGATTCGGGAAATTGCGTCATGGCATGGCTTTTGGGCAAAAATCACACCCAACCTATGGAATCAGAGGAGCTGTTGCACAGTTTGATGTAGTAAAAGCTTCAGGATTGGTTCCTAATAGACAAGCCACGCAAATGCAAAAGCATGGTAATAAGACTGCTCAAGGGAAATTGATGATGGCAGATACCTGTGCTAATGCAGAGGATCTGGTAGGGAGGATAGTTACAGCTGCTCACTCGGGAAAGAGGTTTTATGTTGATTCAATCCGCTATGATATGACCGCAGAGAACTCTTTTCCTAGGAAAGAAGGCTATCTTGGTCCTCTGGAGTACAGCTCATATGCTGACTACTACAAACAAAAGTATGATGTGTATTCTCCTTTAGGTGGCATTATTTTCTTCTAGTTTTCTTCTTTGTTTAAAGGTTTTGTCACTTTGTCCCCCAGCCCAACCTCCTACTAATTTTCTTTCCCCTTTTTTCTGTCTTGAAATTGGTTAACCATGACTTGTCAGCCATGTTTGACCTTCGACATTGTGCATGAAGAACAGGAAACTACTCTTAATTGGTGAAGGAATATGCTATTTTCACCTTCAAAGTGAGGGTGTTGCCAATAATGTCTGGCATTAGGCGACAATAACTTGTTAATCCTTCCACATTAGAGGAGCTTTTTGTATCTTCTTGCGCAATGGAGGGTGCATATGGTAACTGATCCTCTTTTTATTGCTATATGTAGGTATGGTGTTGATTTAATTTACAAGCAGCAACCTCTTATAAGAGGACGGGGTGTATCATACTGCAAGAATCTTTTGTCCCCTCGATTTGAGCACAGTGAAAGTATGCTCTCCTTATTCATATACTGAACTCGTATTTTCCTGGCAAGTCTCTGATTTCTTGTATTTATCATATCTTGCCTTTGTAGCACATGAAGTTGAATCTGAAGAGGCTCATGACAAAACTTATTATGTCTTCCTTCCTCCTGAGCTATGCCTTCTACACCCCCTGCCTGGATCACTCGTTCGTGGGGCCCAGAGGCTGCCTTCAATAATGAGGAGGGTTGAAAGTATGCTTCTGGCAATTCAACTCAAGAACATGATAAATTATCCAGTCCAGTCTTCCAAGGTAATGTTTCTGCTCAATGTAGTCAATTTGTCATGGCTCTAGTTTTTGCAGTTAATCCATGCCTTCTCAATGAACAGATATTGGAGGCCTTGACTGCTGCCTCCTGCCAGGAGACATTCTGCTATGAAAGGGCTGAGCTTCTAGGAGACGCATATCTCAAATGGGTTGTTAGTAGATTTCTTTTCCTAAAATACCCACAGAAACATGAAGGCCAGCTTACTAGGATGAGGCAACAAATGGTCAGTAACATGATATTATATCAGTATGCATTGAGTAAAGGACTTCAATCATATATCCAAGCAGATCGCTTTGCTCCATCCAGATGGGCTGCTCCAGGGGTGCTGCCTGTCTTTGATGAGGATACCAGGGATGGAGAGTCATCTTTATTTGATCAAGAGGGATTGACTTCAAAGACGGAGAAGATGAGTCAACTTTCTGATGGATTTGAGGATGATGAAATGGAAGATGGTGAGCTTGAGAGCGATTCAAGTTCTTACAGAGTTCTATCCAGCAAGACACTTGCAGATGTTGTAGAAGCTCTGATTGGGGTGTATTATGTTGAAGGTGGGAAAAATGCTGCGAATCATCTTATGAAATGGATTGGCATTCAGATAGAGTTTGATCCTGACAAGATGGAGTGTACGAGGAAACCAAATACTGTTCCTGAGAGCATACTTAGGAGTGTTGACTTTGATGCTTTGGAAGGTGGTTTGAATATCGTGTTTAGAGACAAGGGGCTTCTTGTAGAAGCAATAACTCATGCATCAAGACCATCTTCTGGAGTATCCTGTTATCAGCGGTTGGAGTTTGTTGGTGATGCTGTCTTGGATCATCTCATTACTAGGCACTTGTTTTTCACTTACACAGATTTGCCACCAGGACGTCTGACTGACCTTCGAGCTGCTGCTGTAAACAATGAAAACTTTGCACGTGTTGCGGTTAAACACAATCTTCATGTCCATCTTCGACATGGGTCTAGTGCCCTAGAAAAACAGGTTTCATACTGACTTCCTGGTTCTAAGTCATATTATATCTAATTGCCTGGAGCTTGTTGAGAACTTTTCTTGGGGCCATTCTAATGACGTGCTTTTGGTTATATGTCTGCAGATTACGGAATTTGTAAAGGAAGTTCAAGAAGAATTGTCAAAGCCAGGGTTTAACTCCTTTGGCTTGGGAGACTGCAAAGCACCCAAGGTCCTTGGTGACATTGTTGAATCTATTGCTGGTGCCATTTTTCTTGACAGCAGACGAGATACTTCTGTTGTTTGGAAGGTGAGTGCCTGCTCTTTGAAACTGCGTCTTTCTTCCTATTCATTTTACTTAAATAGATAAAATGATTTCGATTCTTGCAATTTTATCAGGTTTTTCAGCCTCTTTTGCATCCTATGGTGACCCCTGAGACTCTGCCTATGCATCCTGTGCGGGAGCTACAAGAACGATGCCAGCAGCAGGCAGAAGGCTTAGAATATAGAGCCTGTCGAATTGGAAATTTGGCTACTGTTGAAGTGTTCATCGATGGTGTGCAAGTTGGGGCTGCTCAAAATCCTCAAAAGAAAATGGCCCAGAAATTAGCTGCCAGAAATGCCCTTGCAGCTTTGAAAGAGAAGGAGGTAGCAAAAACTAAGGAAAAGGATAATGAAAATGGTAAGAAGAAGAATGGAAACCAGACATTCACCAGACAAACATTAAATGACATTTGTTTGCGGAGAAATTGGCCTATGCCATTCTACCGGTATGAACTGAAATGACTTGCTTTGCTTTCAATCACATAATTTGATTAGAGGCTGAAGTGTGATATTTTACTTACTGTTATTTGCTACACAAATCTCGTAGGTGTGTGAATGAGGGTGGTCCAGCACATGCAAAGAGGTTTACATTTGCAGTTCGTGTCAATACTACTGATAGAGGATGGACAGATGAATGTGTTGGAGAGCCAATGCCAAGTGTGAAGAAAGCGAAGGATTCTGCTGCTGTTCTTCTCTTAGAATTGCTAAATAAATTGTACTCATAAATGATACATTGATTGTCATCTGCAAACTACTTCCTTAGAACATCAACCCTGTACCTTAGGCACTGAGCCTAAAATTGTAGCCTTATTCAAATCCAAATATACCAAATAAGTATTACAGTTGAACTTGAGCATTGAGTAAATAGAAATGACCAAAAGATGTGCTTATTAACCAATGTGCCGAAGTATTTTCCTTGAGAAATTTGTTGAGTTCATTTGGGGACTATCAGATGCACATTTTTGCACTTGGGGACTGGTTCTGCAACGATCTCATAGAAGTTCATTACAATGAGTGTGTTTGTTAGATATTTGCTGAGTTGGTGCATTCTATGCAGCTAAGAAACATGTTCTCGGGGCAATGTATCCGTGATGATAAATTGATAATTTGCTGGTTTATTACCTGCTTTATCAAAAATGAAATTGCAAGGCCGACGTATTTGCTGAAAAAGGAAAAAAGGTTCTGCTTAATAAATAAGCACTTGCTCATGGGACGCGTTTGCTTATTTTTCTGTCTGCTTGTCAGTCTGGGACCTATTATTTTTGAGCAATTCCCTTGAAGATTAAAATTAATTTTTTTGGGGGCCCCACTGGAGAGATAAATTTATGTTGTACTATCTCTTCAATGCTGATGTTTAAGCTGCGTTTGGTTTCTTCACTTTTTATATTCAAAAAGCTACTTTTCATTTTGAAAAAGTTAAATGTTGTTTAGGGAGCATTTATGATGCAAAACTGACTTCTCAAATGTGCTTTTTGAATGGGCTAAAACAGCAAAATTTGAAAAGCTGATCTGAGTAGCTTTCTGAAAGTCAGTTGAAGGAAAATGCAATAATAATGATATCTATTATTTTAAAATGATCATGATACCCCTCCCCTCATGTTTGTCTTTTCCTCCTGCTCGACCTCATGTGCGCGTTTCAGAACCCATCTTCATTCTCTCTTCTCTGTGTGTCTCTCGCCTCGTCCGCCTTGCTTCGCCGTCAGTCCATCGACTCTCCTCCATATCTCCTGTGACTCTCGTCCTTCTCTCCTTCGTCTCTCCCTCGCCATCTAGTCACAGATCTGACTCAGTCCATTCTTCCTTTGCCGAGCCGCCTGCAAATGCAAGCACCGTCTTCCTTACAGGTGAATCGGTTGTGTGATTGGAAAGTGGCGATCCCCCTATTATCGCCTCTCACCTCGTCGCCGCCTCCCGCTAAACTCGTTGCGCCAGCGACGGAAAGGGAAGAAGCTCGGCAGGTGGATTTGAGCCGACAGCAGCAACGCTAACAAGGGTCGAAGTCGGAGAAGGTGGTGTTTAAAAAGTGGCAGCATCCAGCGGCTCTGTTCTGTTACGAACCATCCTCGGTGGCGCCTCCTTTCTTTCGCTGTGTATAGATATTAGTTATAACGGTCGTAGGATGATCGGATGGTTCAGAACTGGACAGGAGAAGATCTAAGGGTGCATGTTATGGCAGAAGGATTCTAATCTTGGGTCCAGTCGATATTACTGATTGTATATTGTGGGGTCTGACCATTGTAGGATGAAATCTATTTTAATGAATGTTTAAGTATTTATTACATAATTTTTTTAAATTAAATTTTATATTTTTTTATTATTGACATTTTAAATTTTATATTATTTTAAATTTATTTCATATTTTTTAAACATTGTTAATATATTATATTTGTATAATAAAAATTATAAATTATCATAAATTAATGTTCTTTTTGTCATTACATATTAAAAAGTACATTTCAAAAGTATAATTTTTTATTAATTCAAATAATTTTCAGTTTGCCAAATTGACTTTTAAAAAAATGTATTCAAACACAAATTTCGTCACAACAATTGACTTTCATTAAACTGACTTTTACCAAATGAACTTTTATTAAACTGACTTTTGACAAATTGAAAACCAAACATACACTAAGTCTTGATCACTACTTTTTTTTTGGGGGGGGGGGGAGGGGGTGGTGGTGGGAGAAGGGGTGGGTTTGAAATGAAAAACGAAAAATTCATTCCATGGTTGAAAAATTGTTTACGTATATTATATGAATGGACACTTTTTTCATGTTTTCGCACAGTTTGAGATAAGTTATACTTTAAATACCTTGGGCAAAAAAAAAAAAAAGGCTGTGATTACTGAATAGTAGTATAGCTTATTGTAGGTTTGATATCACGCTTTTAAATTATAAAAATATTTTTAAATAACATTACACTTATTAATAAAGTTCATTAAATATGTTTTATAACTTTATTTTTTAAAAATAAAAATATAAAATTTTAAAAATGTTCTTTATTTAATACTCTATTTATGAAAGAATATTAAAGAGAGAGATTATAATGAGAAGAGTAATATTGGAGAAATATCATTAATGAAACTTTATTTTTATCAAAATGTTTCATATTTTGGGATGTCAAATTTCTTCTAAAAGTGCCTTATAATTTGAAATCGAGTAAAAGTTAGGGTTAAAGGTCCTTGTTTCCTTTTAACTTTACTCGAAAGGTCACTTGACACCCTGAACTTAATTATAGGTTAATTTTGTTGTTTAACATTAAAGATTCCTTCTTTTATTACCCTATCATTAACTTATCTTTATTGGGCCTCACATTACATTTTTTTAATATTTTATTTTATTTAAGATTATGGTGCCCACTAACCCTTTGGGTAAAGTTAAGGGATGAAAGTAACTCTTGATGCAATATTTTATAATAAAAAATATTTAAAAATGCAGTGTGAGGCTCACTAGTAGTAAAGAAAATGACAAGTTAACAGCTGACAAGGAAGAGAATATTTAATATTAAAGAATTGAATTAATCCATAATTAAATTAAAGATGCCCGGTGACTTTTCAAATAAAGTAGAGAGAGCAAAAATAACATATACCCTACACATTAATATTCTTAATATAAAAAGTTGAAGTGATATCAACAGATTGCATCTAAATTAATGCATTAGTCGTTACCAATGTCAAATATATCAATTATTACCACATCTTAGGATTTCAAAAAGTTATCTCCAAATTGATTACCGTTGAATAGGTTGAAAGATTCAAACCGTGGTCGAAACAATTTACTTATTTACTTGCATTATGTTTTGAGATAAAAGTTACAACTATGCAAGTAATCAAAATTGATATAAGTTGGAAAAAATTAAAAATTGATAAAATACCAGACCATGCACTGAATAAACTCATGACATTGTCAGTCCAAAAAAAAAAAAAAACTCATGACATTGAATTATATTTCAATCAACAGGAACTTCACATGATACATTTCCACAAAAGTTGATGGTCGTTCCTTGTCTTTATCACCTAAACAACTGGTGTCATTCTAATCAATACAAAGAAACAATTTCAACAAAACATAATCAACAACGATCTCCCATAATATATTATCTGGGGAGAGATTCAGTATCGGATAAAACCCAATAACACCTCTAACTGTTGTCTGTAGTGTATACTAAAAAGTCAAAAATAAAAAACCTTCTGTAAATGAGGCTTACGATAATTTATGGTTGATAGCATTATAGTCTATTGCCTCAAACTGCGCAGAATATACTCTGCATAAAGATCCCTGAACCAAATCAAAGAGAATAACTTAAAACGGTGAAGCAAAATAGTACCATTTTTCCTGTTATATTGACATGGGAGAGGAATGATTGGAGATAATTTAATTAGTGTTTATTTCATATTAGAGGTTAAAAAGAAAAAAGAAAAGAAAACATATCTCAAGATACACTAACATTGAGTACTGGATGGCTTCAATGGCAGTAGAAGGAGGCAAAAAGTCATTGACGGCTACCTCCTTATTCTCATTCTTCTTGTCTGATCAATTTGTCAGGAAACATATATTAAGCTTATGGAAGCTTAGGCAACAAGTTCCTGAATTAAAGGTTCAATAAAATGTCTTTTACAAACGTTTTGTGTCAGTCACCTTAGAGTATAATATTCATTCAACTCCATTAAAGTGATACTAAAAATATGTGAACTATCAAATTGGCAGTGACACCATTTTTAAGGTTGTTAAGGATACAATCTTCAAAGAAGCGTCGTATCTCAGAGAGACGATGGGGAGGAAGTTCTTTGAAGTCGTTATAGTGCTTGTACTCTGGATCATCAGCGCATACTGCAATAATCTTATCATCAGTCTCCCCCTGCATCAATAGCATCACTTTAGTTATTACAAGAATCGGTGGAAAGGAAGAAAGTTCATTTTTGTACTTGCTATGGACTTTCCCCATAAAGAAATCACCTGTGGAGAAATTTTTTTTTTAGAGATTTTATTAAGAACACTTGAAAACTGCATGCAGGTTTTGTTAAGGCTAAAATGGAAAAATGATACCTGGTCAATCATAGGCATCAGACCAATGGCCCTGGCTCTCAGGAAACAACCAGGAAGAACTGGCTCCTATACACATGAAATATTGAGAAAGTCGCTTAGGATTTCCACATTGATGTCAAGTTCAAATATAGGTCCTTCATTCATGTAAATCATTGCTTAAGTCGCTTAGGATTTCCACATTGATGTCAAGTTCAAATATAGGTCCTTCATTCATGTAAATCATTGCTTATGAATCATATATTTATCTTTCTAAAGAAGTTGAGAGTAACACAGACTATGAGAATCATCAGATGTAACTTTATATTTACTGATAGCAATGAGATAATAGTGTGAAAAGAATAGGCATTGGTTTAAAATTAAAACTACTCATTGGAAATAATGAACAAGAGTAAATGACTCTTGTGTAAGACACATGAATTCCAAATGGTATGAAAGTTACCTGCATAAGGATCAATACATCAAGTGGATCATTATCTTCACAAAGAGTACGAGGAATGAAGCCGTAGTTATGAGGATAAACAACTGATGAATACAAAATGCGATCAACCTAAGCAGTAAGAAGGAAATAGAGAGTTAATAACTTGTGTTGTTTTCATTGTTTACTCATGGTTATTGTATGTGTCAATTGGTTCAAACCTTGATCATTCCTGTCTTTTTGTCAAGTTCATATTTAACCTTGCTTCCCTTAGTGATCTCCACAACCTGCAGGCAGAAACTAACCATTCAACATGTAGAAACACCAAAACTTTCCTCGGGAGAAAATCAGATATTCAGGATTTCAAAATGTGGAAAATGACATTTAACGGTCGTTTGGAAGATTGCAAATAATGGCATACTCTAGAGAAATTGAACCCGAAACGATAAGAGATGACACTTTCTTAGTAACTTAGCTAGCTCTCTGGGGTTGTATTTGGTATCCATTTCCTACTATGCCCAATAATGGAGTCATTTTACAATATTTGCAGAAAAAGTAAGTGTAGTTAGGCGACTACTATTTATTCCTCAAGAAGATGAAGACTTACACAATTGAAAACATTGGGAGCTTCAGGTCCTGCAATAGACAATCAAAATAATTTGAACCATCAAGTTAAGTGTCAATACAAAAGACGACTATGGATGAGCAGTATGGTCAACATTAGTACCAATTTCAAGATCATGCCAAGGGTGAGCAGCAACTGATCTTCTTGACAAAGATGAAAGAATCCTTTGATTTAAACGGGGACGGTTATCTGTAGGCTCAGCAGTTTGTTCTGGCTGACTCATCTTAAGACATGACATACAAGGAAAAGAAAATTTTAAGACATTGTTTTCAATGACAGTGAGAGAAAAATTGGTCTGAACTACAAACAATATTGTAAACAGAGAACAACCATTCCTAGAATCAACATTTTTGAAGTTTCATGAGCGATGTCTCAGCTGGAACATTGTTTCGGTTCATCATCCAGGAAAAAATCCCAACGCTTGAACAATAATCAGGCTGTTAACCCATTTAAACTAATGCAGCTTAATCTCACCAACTGATTTAATCTTTTGATTAATTCAAAAGTATGCCTTTTGTTTCTTAACCTTGCTTATTAGTTTTCGCCAAATGAATTGTCCCCAAAAGGGAATGACATTTTGTTGTTGTTCACATCAGTCTTAATGGAAATCTCAAAAATAGACCACTTGGTGATGCCTGATGAAATGAAAAGTTGAAAAAGATGGTAGCTTGGTACATTTAACAATCACCCTTTGTGTAATGAATAAAGGAAAAGCCAGAAAGGATATGATTGAGGCTTTGATTGATAAGATTCAAAAGAAAAGGATAATCAGTACCTTGACAAAGAGTAAGTATGAAGGGAGAGAGAAATGATTTGAACAATGAAGGGAGAGATTGAAATTGAAGTAATTATTGTGGATATCAATAGCATATTTATATATCAAAGTGGAGAAATGGTCAATTCTGTAGATCACGTGGTGTGTGTGCAATGAAGGAGGGAAGTAAGGTTGACCATTCCCGTCTTTTGTTGAACTTCTAAAGTTGCTCATTTCCATTCGTTCAGCTTGGAGCCGCCCCAAAAAGAAATCATCTTTTTGCTAATTTTAAACTATATTTATCTTTAATTTCATAATTAATGTTTGTTTTAAAACATTTTCAGTTTTTTCATGATATTGTTAAATTAAAGTGACTAACAAAAATTATGCATTTTTATCAATTAAATTAAACAAAATTATTTGTTTAGAAAGATTATTATTATATTAAAAATTTAGGTGAATTAGATTTCACGCATTTGTTAAAGTCAAAAAATGAAAGAAAGATAGAAAGAATTAACCTCAAGATTAAAATAGAGCTTAATCCTATAGAAATGTTAAAAATTATTATTTTTTATTCTAGAAGTTGATTATTAGTTCCCAACCATTTGATGATTTTTCAGAAAAAATTAACTGAGGCAATATTATTAATTATTAAAAAACAATTTGTGCCATGCACTTGAATAATGGCAGAGTCTTAGTATGAATTTGTTCATCAAGTAACTATTCATGATCGTTTCTACTAGTTATATATAAAAAAAAATTATATGTAGGTTCTAAATAAAAAAAAATTAATTATCCATAAGTCGTGGCTACTTGTAAATACGAAACTTTTACATGTAGATGCAGAAGTTTGACTCGTTAATGAGATTGAATAATTAATTTTCTTATCTAGAACTTATTTGTAATTCTCCCTTATATATATTGATTAACTGCCTACTTCATTTATTTATAATACAATTAGTGAACGAGGTTAAACAACTTATCTAAGTTTCATTTCAAAATATATTCACATTTTTTATACAAAAATATATTTAAATTATTCAAATAATTGAATTTTCTCGTGTTCTTGAATTAAAGTGGATTTTAGCAAAAATGAGAACAATTTTAGCTTGAGTAAACAATGTCAAATCATTACAAATTGTGTTAACATACCGAGGGGATTATAAAACATGGCTAAGGGCAAAAAGAAATAACTTTTAATCCTTATAAGATTTTTTTTTTATTATGAAAATCATAAGACTTAGTAGGGAAAATATAAATAGCTTTACATGTGAAAGAGAGATTAAAATATAAAATAGTAAAAAAATAAATTCGAATGACCCAAAACACTAAAGTTTGGAGAAAACATAACTTTAGGTTACCTCTCTATACTTTTTTTTCGGTGTTTTAAATTCCTACACTTTTATCTTTCAGTGTCAAAAGACAAAAATATAGGGATCTAGAACATCGAAAAAAAAAAGTGCAAAAATTTATAGCAAAACTTGAGTAAAGTCTAAAGACCCAAAGTTATGTTTTTCTAATTCAAATCTATAGAAGTTGAATCCCAGAAATTACAAGAACTAATGTTCCGATAAAAGGCTACTAATGATTCATGTAGAAATTGATTCTCTTACATGCATAAAATGATATCTGATCTGATGCTAATTATAAAGAGATATAAACCATATATACACTTTGCTCAGAGAGCTAAGTGAAGTACATGCATGCTAGAACCAGCTTATTCAATCCATTCCCCAATTTACAATGGCTGGGAATCTCTCATCCATACTAAAACATACAATGGTGAGTGCTTTTTCTTTTCTGTTTCTGGCACTGCCCACAAAACTGAAACCGACCATTGATATCATCAGAAGAAGTTCAAGGTACATGCATAGAATCAGGAGACATTGATATCATCTGAAGAAGGCTAGAATTTGAGAATGTCTCTTCCAAAGCAGGTCCTCTGGTGATTCCTCCATCCACGCCAACACCGACACCCTCTTTTGTTATGTGTGTCAATTCCCTCGCAACATCAATCATCCCCATTTTTCCATCAGCACCAAACAACAAACATCTTGTTGCAAGGTCTGCTATTATCTGTATCTGTTCTTGGCAGCAACGAGGTTGTTCGTGGTAGTAAAGGAGCGGATCGATGATTTCTTCGAGCTTCCCTGACCTAATCTTTTGAAGCGCTTGAGTTGGTGAGTTCAAGTGATTATTTGAGCCTGAAATGATCTCAAGGAGCAACACGCCCATGTCATAAACATCATTCTTGCAGAAGTGCAAGCCTTCTTTGTTGTTATCATAGCGATAGTTGAATTTGGCATTGACTAGCCTGAATCCTGCAATCTTGACAGAAAAATCATCATCTAGGAAGATGCAGCCAGGTTTAAGGTTGTGGTGGAATATGGGAGGAGAGTTATCATACTGTAAGAATGCAAGAACACAAGCAGTTTCTGCAGCAATAGTCAATCTCTTGTTCCAGTCCAAACACATATGGCCCATTCTTTGATGTAAATGGTCCTTCAAGGTACCGTTTGCAGGATACTCATACACAACCAAAGAAGGATAGCCAGAGTCTATACAGCATCCGAGAAGGCGGGCCAAATTCTTATGAACAATAGCAGAAAGAACCTCAATTTGCGCTAAGACTTGAATAAGGTCTTTCTCAGTATCATATTGCAACTTGTGGACAGCTGCATGTGATCCATCCCCAAGAACTCCAGAGAAAATTGTGCCATTGTTGCTGCTGTGCATGAGTTTTTGATCCTCAGAGAAACCTTCGGTCGCTTCCTCTAGCTCATGGAGGCTGAACAACTGAGTTCTACATGACTTTTGAAAGGAGGTGTTGCGATAGTAAGCCTGATCTGTGTCAAACGTGCCTGGTTTTTGTGGTCTTTTAAGTACGTAAAATAGTGCTGACAAGGAGGCAACAATAAGGACTGGACCAAGGATTCCTGCATGTGAACAATGCCATGACAGTGAATCATGGATGAAATATAAGAGGACATGTTAATAGACCCTCGTTCTAATTGCCTTTTCATTTTGCTGAGTATTTGAAAGACATAAAAACGAGTATAGTGTCATTGCTCACCAGCGATGATGACAAATTTTCTTTGATCTTTTCTTCTGATACAGCAGTCGCTGCCATATGCTTCCTGTCCATTCTTGACACAGGCTGCAATTAATGAATGCATCAAGCCAAAGCCAATGTCAAATATGAATTGAGTAAGTTCCAAAAGTTCATGAAACTTTTAAAAAACGTAACCCTGTTCAGAAACACGTTCACAAAAATTTGGCAGTAGAAATCATTGATATTTTTATATCCACTGTGTCTCATAGATAACCTAAATTCAGTTAGCTTTCTCATATGTATACTATCGGGTCTCGAGTAAGAAAACATGCCCCTTTCAATAGATGCAAACCTGAGCTGAGGTTTCTACAATATTCAATCACTTATTAGCTTATGGTTACATAGAGAACAGCAGCCAAGATGAAAGTGAAAGAATTATAATATCATTTCCAGCTCCTTGACTCCTCAAGAAAGTAGCAAATTTCTAATATTATTCAAGGCCGCCAGCTCAAGGTTTCATTTGGATAGGGGAAAAATAGAGGGAAGAGAATACTAAGAAGGAAAACTTCCATAAATAGTAATTTTTTTACAATGTTTGGAAGTTTTTTCCTCTTTGCATTCTTTCCCCTCTATTTTCTTGTAAAGGTCTAAGTAAAGAAGAAAAAGGGCAGCAGAGGCTTGCTTCTATATGCCAAGGACAAGAATCTCCCTGATCTTACAGTGACAATTTTCCCCATCATGGTCGTTTCTTCATACTTTCTTTGCTACACGATCTGGAAGCAACTAAGCATGATACTAACACGGACATGAAAAATCTGAAGAGTTGTCACGTTTAATGCCAGCATTTTAGATTATGTGCTTAAAATGAAATCCATCAGAACAAGAGAACAGTAAAATATAATATCAACAAAGCAAAAGCATCCAGCTCAACTACGACTCACCCTGCAAGCATCCAGTTCCATTTGCAAATCCATCACCAACATACCCATCTTGACACACACACCTTGCTCCACCTTCAACTGATGTAGCATTCACCAATTCAGCATTGCTTGAGCAAACTTCCTTGGATGTGTTCTTAGGAATAGCCCATTCCAATTTGACCCCACGCTTTCCTGAATTTGACCCTCTCAGAACGGCCCAACTAGAAAATCCCCTGCATCCATACTTAGAAAACACTGAAAATCCTTCCCCTACATGCCATATGCTACGGTCTGAAAGTGGATAGCAACACCCAAGTGACCCACCTCCACCATCACCGTTCCCATCACAACCTGGCAAATCAACTGTTTCACAATCTGCTTTACAGAGAGAAGAATCCTCACAGTCATAGAGACCAATGACATTATCCACTGAGACCCCAAAGTGCTCATTCCTCACAAAACTTTTGCCAAACGAGTTCAGGTCATTATACTGACGACACGATAATGTGCCTGGGAAGTCCACCAGTACACCATCAGGGAAGAATTCAATCACTGGGTAGTTCTCTGAGCCGATTCTGAGCAATAGGGAAGAGGAATTTGCGCAAGAGAGATTGAAAGCATGAGAAATTGACACACAAGACGAGTTCACGTAGAATGGAAAAGGAACACGGTGTTTCCCACATGTTTCGTTGCAGGAATTGGAAGGCAAATTAGTAGATGATGATTGGAGCACCTTTTCTTGGTTCTGAAAGGAATCACAAGAAAAAGGCAAGCACGCAAGAAGTACTCCTAAAAGAACAGGAGCTAACATTGAAAGAGGTTTTGAAGATGAACAACTGGTGAAGTGAGTGAAGAAGTTGTTCACTTCAACAAATTAAGCCATGCTTTCATGAGCCTCCCTTTTATTGCTCAAATACCTAACGCGGTCTTAAAAAAATGAGACCTGGATAATGGCGCATTTATCAAACTCACAGATGACAGATACCCAGATGGGAATAGCATGTCTCTGATCATCAAAACACTGTCAGTGAAAGAAACTCACAGGATATTTGAAAAAGTAGTATTGACAAATAGTAACAAAAATAGATATTAAATTGAAGTTCAGAGATATTGAACGGGAGAAAGGGAAGGGCATTGAAATTGAGGAAGACGAAAACCCAAAAAGGACAGGTGGCAGGATGAGGGACGTACTGGGTAATGAGGAAGACATAGAAGTTGAGATGGAGGAGACGATTGGTCTGAGGAATGGGCTACAGTTCGTATCAAAAAGAAATAAATATGGAAGAGCGTGAGCGTGGGACGATATTGTTGTGAGTATTTCAATCAAAAGTTGAAATCCACAGCGTGGGGGTGAATTACGTAGTAAGAGATACTATTATAGAAATAATAAACTTGCATGGGTTTCTATATTTCGAGGAATGTAAACAATTCAATCAAGAAATATTTAGTTTGAGAATTACGGAATGTCAGATCTGTCCAACAACGCAAGGATGCGTATTGCGTACCTTGCAAAAAGAAAATAGCCAAAGTCATCTTATATATATATATAATCCAGAAAACGATGCCGCGACTTATAAAGCCTCAATATGCGCTAACCTAATTCACTACTTCTACGTTTCATCCACATTAATTAAATTATATTTTTCACGTGAACATTTTAAATTCTTAAGTCTAACTTAAATATATTTGTATTAAATGCAACTACATAAAAAGGCAAAAGAAAGAAAAAAAGAAGTCAATACTACTAATTAGTCCAATCTTAGGAGCTGTTTGAAACTATTTTTATTTTATTGTTCTGAGAACTGGTGTTCTGTAAAACATTTTCTGAGAATAAAAAAATAATAAAAACAAGTGTTTTTCTTATTTTTTCTTATTCTTCAGGGCAATAATCACAGAACATTTAAAAATTATTTTTATTTTTCTATTCTCCCAAATAATATTTTATTTTTTTGTTCTTTTATTCTGAAGAACAGAAAACTGTTCCCAAAACAGGTTTCCAAACAGGCCCTTAATTTCTATACTGATGTGCCGAGTAAGACTTCTTCATCTTTTTCTCCTTTTTGGATATCCAAGGAGTAAGACTCCATCTAATTTGCATAAATCATTTACACATAAACGTTATACTACTTTTGTTTCAAATAAACGCATTTAAAAAAAAATATAATGATCTAAATGTAATTAATATATTTTTAATAGGTGTATGTTAAGTAAAAATATCTTATATTTGAAATGAAAGGAGTATAAGAAATACAAATCTATAACCTTCTTATAAATATGAGAGATTAAATAATTTATATTCTGAGAGCTTAAGGGGAATAATAAAAATTGTCTATAAATAAATCTCTTAAAAATTTGAATATACCAATAGAATTGAGTAGCAATGAATATCAATCCAATAATTTTAGGGAGAATGATAAAAAGATTTCAAAAGAATCAATTAATTTAAAATAGGTCTTGAGTGTTAAATTTTAGATATTTGCAACTTAATCTCTTAACTTTACAATTTTAATGTAATGAATTTGTAACTTGTATTTCAAATTTTAATAGAAATTTTTTTATTTTTAAACCATATTAAAATTTAAAAAATAAGTTATAAATTCATCATAACGCAGTTACAAAATCAAAAAATTAAGTTGTAAATTTTTAAAATTTAACATTTAGGACCTAACTTAAATTAATTGAGCTTTTTGGGACTGCTTTGTCATTCTCTCATAATTTTAAAATCATAATTAAGCATAATAATTACGTGAATCTATTTGCAAATATCCTACGTATGTATGTACGTACGTATAAAATGCAATTTTTTGACAATATTTACTGAAGCATTATATATGTATATATATTTTCAAACTTGTTTATATGGAGTCATTTTTTGTCTTTGGAGAGCGCAGTAGCTGCGGGTGTTAGCTTGAAACTCGAGTTTTATTTACTCAATGCACGTGAAAAGGATAAATTGCCGGTTCAGTGTACAAATTTTTTTTTTGGTGAAACAGTGTACGAATTTTGTCTTTTTTTAAAGTTTCATTTTTCAACGTTAGTTTTGAGTTTTTATTTCCATTTATATGTAATTAAAAGATGCAATTATTAATTAAAATTAATGTGAATAGTAAGGACTCACATCACTTGAGTAAGTGGTTAAAATTTCAAATTCTAATCCTTAAATATGTAGTTATTTAGTTGAGAGAAATTTATTTTTATCTTTCATATTTTGGGAGAGATACACAAAATTCACTTCTTATATTATATGAAAAAAAAAAATGTAATAGTGAGTTACTACAACATGAGGAAGATAAATTATTTAGGACAAGGAATATTCTCTTCCTTATTATACAAAAGTAAACTCAAATTGATATTGCATGATCATGGCCAAAAGCTTGATATTGCATGATATGGTGATAACTTACAAGTTTTTTCATAACAATATTAAAATTTATTGTATTTTTATTTACTTTTTATAATTTTATAAGAAATTCGTGTCGCCAACATTCAGAAAATAAACATACAGCACTTCGAAAAATAAATAAATAAATAGTAGTATGCATACAAAAAAATCAACTTATGGAACAATCACATTCAATTTTTTGAATCATATATATGAAAGGAAATTAAACTTAAGTATAAGACATGCATGCTATTCTACTTGGAGTTGGTCACTTTTTAATTCATTTTTTTCTGGTTGATTTCTTTTCATTATAATTTTCTCAGAGTGTTCATTTATCTTTTATTTAAACCCATCACATAGACTAAATCATCCCATTGTTGTAACTTACTTAATAATTATTTATAATTTTAAATAAGAAAATCCAATTGAAGAAAACACTCACACACACATATTAAGATCTTAATTATAACAACCATCAAAATTAAAAGATAATAGAAATTATCTGAAATTTCAACTTATTAAATAATTAATAGCCCTTTGCATTACATAAAATTTAGGAATTCAAAAACACTTAAAGTGTGAATAGTTCAGTTTCTCATCATAATTTTTTTTTATTGATCAGCAAAGATATTGTTTTGGGAATCTTACAATTAAAAATACAATATTCTGATCAATTTCTCATAAATTACACTAACTGGAAATAAGCTCTCCCATCCTTCTTGCTCATACCCTCAACGACAATAGATACCTTTCTTGTTTTGAAAAGTACACTTAACTTCTATATAATTATTTTCTGTCAATAAATTAAATTAACCTTTTTATGCAATCTTATTTTTAAAAAATGATAAATCAATTAAATTAAATTAATGGCATATTCTATTAATGAAATCGCAAACTTATGTTTAAACTTGACGTCGATATTTCTATTAGCATTTTAAGGGTAAAAAAAGGGTTACAATGCAAAAGTACCTACCAGGTAGTCACCCAGGAGTATCTAGTAATCTAAAGTGAAAAAAAATAAAAAAAAACTCATAATGTTATTAAAATTAATGTAAAAATGATCAATCTATTACATTCCTTAAATCTTAATTGTTTAGTTAACATTTAAGCAGAAGTTAATCATTTTTTCACTGATATGGATAAAAAATATTATCAAGTGAGATTCTATGGAGGTTGATTGGTTATCATATAAATATGATGTGGGAAAATATCATTTTAATCAAATATTAAGTTAAATTGCCCATTTCTTTGCAATAGTGATCAAAACAATTTGAGAATTTTAAATTTATCATGAATGAAATTGCTTAAAATTGTAATAATGTTCTTAAAGTAGGCGGTGTAGGGGGTATACTTAATCTTGATCTTTGATTGTGTATAACCTCTCTCATTGTGTTGAATCTCAAGTTTTACAAACAAAAAAAAAATGAGTGGAGAGGGAGAAAGGAAGGGGGGTGGAATACATTAGCAAAAAAATGAGATTGATGGGATACATCATTGATCAACCTCTTTAGAAATTAATCATGAAATATTTTTTGATTACGTCAACAAAAAAATAGTCAACTTTTATTTAGATATCAGTTAAATAGTCAATATTTAAGAAATTTGATGAATTGGTCATTTTTGCACCAATTTCAATAATGTTATGGATATTTTTGCCTTTTCTCTCACTTAAGGCTACTAAATGCTCTTGCCCAATAATTTTGTAAGTATTTTTGTCCCTTTTTTAGTTCGCATCAGCAAAGACTAACATTAGCAAGCACAGTCAACATTAAACATCGGAAACTGATGGTGTTATGACAAAGTTAATGATTTAATTACTTTTGTACCAACTCTGATAATATTAAGTATTTTTATCTTTTTTTTTTTTACTTTAGGCTATTGGATGTTTCTGACTAGCCACTTGATAGGTATTTTTATATCTTAATCCAAAAAAAAAATTTGTACTGTTGTAGTCTGATAAAAAGTCTGCTATACATATAAAAACATGGGGAAAATATATGTCTTATATGATTCAATAAAAACTTCAAAATACTAATGAAATCTAATGTGTAAAACTAAGATAATATGTTATTACATGCAAGCACTACTACAAAATTATGTGTATTTTTTTTTTCCTGAGCAAAAGAATATATGTAAATTAACCCAACAACCTGGGTATTCTACGTCAATAAAATTCAAAACCGACGGCAAAAATGGTGGCAATTTTCGTAGTTAACCAGAAAGTTTTTTCCAAATCTAGTTTTTACCAATATAAAAGTTCACTTTTCACGACTCTTAATTTTACATCCCTCACAAAGGTGACGTAAAAAAATCTACTATGACTAATGTGTGCGTGTGTATTAAGTCATTCATATAGAAGTGAAGACGAATGTGTAAATAGTAATAAAAACAAAGTATTGTTGAGAGGAGTAATTGCAAGGTGTTTTTGGAGTGCTGTATGATTTAAAATCTTTCATAAAAATAATGGAAACCAAGTGCTGCAAGGTTTTTTTTTTTTTTGGAGTGCTGTATTTTCATACAGTGGACGTGGAATTTTTTTTAAAAAAAAATTGTTGTGTGAAGCTTTTTGACCATGAAATAGTTGAGTGAAACTGAAAAAGGTGAAATTAAGGTATTAATTAATGTTTCGTTAGATGCGTTTGGTGAAACACAGTTGGGATGATATGAGGATAAGAGTAATTGACAAATTAACCAAAAAAAAGTATTAAACTACAAAAAGCAGAAAAGGATTCTAAACTTTAAATTCTCAATTTCTCACACTGCATTGAGACATTATACCTCGAGGGTTATTCCCACGTCATATGATGTTCTGGAAATATTTAGGTGAGTCTCTTGTGTAATTTATAAATGGTAGAGCTTTATATAAATTTTATATAATTAAATGATAATTAAAATATCGCTTATAGAATCAGCCATACTTAAGCAGGAATTTACCTAACTATACCATTCAACCAACTTTTGAGGGCCAAGAGATCTCTCGGAGAAATAATGCTCCTGAAATGAGATTTTAGATTCAGACTCATATTTATGAGTAATAAGAGTGTTTTTCTCTAAATATTTATGGGAATATGCGTTTGTGAATAGTTGAAGAACACAATTATTTTTAACCCAAACTTTCAGTTCTGTGCATTATTACCTTTTCGTCCCAATGTTTCCTTAATAACCAACACCCTAATTATGTGCAAGAAAGCTACGCATTGGTCCACTGTTTGCCCGTGATTTTCACCTTTCTTATGATTCAAACCTTTCTCCTTTCTTTCTGAAAAAAAGCAATCAACCTTATCCTAAATTGTTTATCTTAATTTGATTTTTCAAGAAAAGAAAAGCAGAGAGTTGCAAATATATATATATATATATATACACACACACACACATAAACTATTTTAGCTGAAGAAATTTCGTCATGGGTTTTAATTAATCTAGCGAATCTGAAATAATATTTATTGCACATCCTTCAATCCCCTAGTTCTTCCCCATGCATTGTAGTAATATCATGAATAAGGGTCAATCAATGTGAATTTTAATATTTAATATTAAAAATATTAAATTTTATAACAAATCACACCATTTTATGAGTCATAACTTTATTTTTTTGATCGAGATTTAAACTCAAGCCCTATATGGTACAAGATAATATATTTTTACTTTTTATATATGGATATGAGAATAGCATTTTATCGTGATCAGTGATTCATTGGCTCGCAAAAACAAAAACAAAAACAAAAACGTTCCATTTTCAACAGTATACTATATATCATTTCATTTTGAGCAATAATTTTCACTTCTTTCAAATTTATCGATTTTCTGTTTTGATTTTCCAAATATATAAATCCTACTTGATGTTTTGATTCTCTGTTTTCTAGAAACTCGACTCACAGATAGCAGTAGGTCAGGTTCAACATTTTCTAAACAACAGCTTTCTTAAAACCAAACTTATCCGATCATTTTGTAATTGTCATTAAATCAAAATTAAGCATACAATCTTTAAGCAATTTGAAAATTCAACTATTGCATGTATTTTAAGTGGTGAATGGTGATGGCTTGAAACGCTGTGAGACGGAGCTGGATGGCCTATCACCATAACTACTACTATTTCCATAACTCTCCTACACATAAGTTATAATAAGTGTTTAATTTTTATAAGCTCCTAATAAATTTTTTTTAATGAATACTTTTAATTTCCACAGCCTTCGATTTAGAATAAAGTTTTTTCATAAACTCTCCATTAACATTAATTTCTTATCTATTTGAAGCTAGTATAAATGACCCTCATATTATAGCGAATCATGAAGGAGTGATATAATTTTTTATTGTTCTCTTTTTTTCCGTTGGCTCCTACGCTACACTAAGATCTCAATGAACAATATTTTTATCACTCACTAAATTACATGATAACTTCTTCAACACACCTCTCACTCACACTTGCTGCCACCCAACACCACATATCCACGACACACGCATGCTACAAATAATTCTCCAAAATCGGTGGCTTCATTCCAGATTTCCCTTACCTTCTTGTAATTATGCCATTCGCGGCCATGCATTTGTTTCCCCATTACCCTAGAGTTTTCTATAGTTTGTAAATTATCAATGAAAAAGAGTCAAGAAATATGAAATAAATCTAGCCATCTAGGATAAATACGTAGTATGAGGGGGAAGAATCCAGAAAGAAAGAGTGGGGGAGCCGGTGTTATCTGAGCACTTTCAATATCCCAAGAGAAAGAGAAACAAATATTCTGGTTCAGGTGTAAAATAAATTAATGAATTACGTCACAGAGTGAAATCCTAATGAGAATTATATAAAATGAAAAGGCCCATTAGATTGAGAATCATACCTAGAACTCATTCATGCAAACTGCAAAGCACTTGCACTTCATTACACCAAATATTATTTCTCGGCTACTACAAACGACTTACAAGCAGCGAGTCATGTCTTGGAGAATTGCATCACCTGGGCAGAGATTTTTTTCAAGTAAACTATTTCACAGACGTTAGACAACAACATGTAGTATTAGCTGAATGATAACTCATAAATTACTTAATGGTGAAGTCTCAATGTATCTTATCTAAGGTTATTTAGCGGAGTTCTTAGCTGCAGTAACATCAGTTCAGGATAGTAAACAAGTGCATGTAGAAATTTAATATAGTACACACATCTACACGACGAGTTTCGTGAGCAGCATAATTGGTAATAAACAACATGAATATACACGTGGGTGAGCTAGAAATAGCATGGAAAGCCAAGGTTTCCTCCATGTGTTTCCATGCAATATCACGTGTCAAGTTGAAGCCTCCGCTTCCAAGCGTATTTTCTTGGCACCTTTCTCTTCACCATGGTTGCCAGTAGTTCCAACCCTGTTTTCCTTGACTTCCATTGAACATCTCTTGTAAGGTTTAAACCCTGTTCGACTAGCCTTCAGCTTTCCTTGTCCAAGCCCTATGGTTAGCAGTATCTCCTCCTCATTGTGTTTTTCAATGAATGACAGATTTTTCTCCGCTCCTCTACAGTCAGAACTGCGTTTCTTGCTGTTGTCTAGTTTATCATCCGTATTATGCTTGTTATCCTCAATTTTCCCCATCTGATGATCCGGATTTGTCAAGTCATGTTGGGGGAGAAAAGCTCTGTGGCAACACCTCCCTTGAGAAGAGAGCCTGAAAGGCCAGCCTTCCCTGATAATAACGGTGATACAATGATATGAGAATGGAAAGCAAGAAATGAATTTATTGCATTAAAACTTCTTGGGGATCAGAAACCACAATACCTCTTCAGAGACCTCCTTCCAAGAATCAGGAAGGCAGCTGGCACTTCTAGCACGACGATTTCTGGAATCAATAGCTAATCGGTTTGCATCAGGTTCTTTGTTTTCCTCTTTCCCTTTCTCATCCTTCTCTAGCGCGTCTGTCTCAACCTCGCTGCTAGAGGTGGTATTAGAACCACATGAGGAACGGTCAACCTGTTTTCTGCCTTTCAGTTTGTTAGGGTCAAGGTGCTCAGAATTTGCTTTGCTCTTCTCATGATCAGTAGGCTTTGATGAAGCATTCATCTTAGCATCTCCCCTTTCCTCTGGCTCTGATGAAGAAATTGCTGGTGACTTAGAAGCTGAATGTTGAGCTTGAAGAGCATCTGCATATTCTGGATCCTGATTTTGCAGGGGAGTCCGAACAGTAGTTTCACCACCTTGCTCTGTTTTGGCTGCCGGTATTTCACCATTGTCCATTGATGGAACTACTGCAGCTGATGCGGACGGACAAGGAAAGGCAGAATGGAAAGGGGCACACAAAGGAAGAAGTCCATGGGCTGCCCACCATGCAGTTGCAGCAGCCACAGTAGCAGCTGCAATAGCTGCCATATTTGGAGGAGAGCCAATTTGCCTAGATGGAAAGGCTCCTTGCAAGCATGCTGGAGAATCTGCAGAAGCTTCTATATTTGCATAGGGCCAAAATGTAGCAGCAAAACTTGCTGCAGCATGTGCTGCAGGGTTTTGAAGCAGGGTGGAGACAATAAGGCTTGAAAATGTGGAGGACATTTGAAGAAATGATTGGTAGTGATCTTGATTCTGGTGAATTTGTGGGAATGGGGGAGGATAAGCAGGAAATGATTGATGAATTGAAGATTGTGTTGAGTTATTTTGACTTCCACTTGCATTTGATGCAGCTGCATTTGCGAAAATATTAGGTTGCCCGTTAACCCCACCCATGGGCTGAAACATGGATTCTGGAAACAACATACCCTGGGAAGGATTTTGAGTACCTGTTCCAATTTTCCCATCAAGAACGTGCACATGGACATGTCTAGGGTAGTTATGATTTCCTTGCATCCCTTCTATTGTCAAAGCACAATTGAGATAATCTGTTTTCTTACTCTGAACCGATTTTGCATGTGAAGCATCAGAATCTTCCAACTTAGAAGCTTTACCTGTGCCATTACTCTGTTCTGTGCGTTTCCCTTCAGCACCTATTTCCAACTTCTGATTTTCTTTTAGCTCAGTGGTGACAAAAGATTCATCTGTTTCATCCCGGCTTATCAATTCTTTTGCTGAGGGTATGAACTCCCTTAAGGTGCATGGACTTCTCAGTGGCACTGACATTGAATTCTTGTCTGCTGATGTAACTAAGGAACAGGGTGCCTCCTGGCAAATGGCAAATATTTTAGAGCACTTATCGTCCTTATTTTCTTTTACAGTGATTTGACTTATATATACAGTATGTTTCTAATAAAACAGGAACAATTATTTATTGTTCTGAAAGGTAAAATCATCAGAGATCGAGAAAGATTAAAAAGAAATATTAACCTCTGGATGTGGTTCCTTCTCCAGGTCCAGTGCTGGTTTACAGTGTGAAGATGAAACTGGCACAAGTTTTCCATTCTTTCCTCCACCATGTGATGTCTGGGCACAAGCACTAGTCTTCCGAGGATAAGGATTGTTTGGTTTTCTTTTGGGGCGTGGAGGAGGTATGTCTATGTCAATAGATTGTCTGATTGGAACACCTTTTACAAGGGCCTCTTTCTCCAACTGGAAGTGAAAATAAATAGTAATAGTATTCTCAGCAAATGAAATTTCAAAAGCACTAATAGGACCGTTTGTGCATTAGCTGTTATGTGTGTTTTAAAATGACTTCTTTTGAATTATAAATAGTCAGATTAACACTGACATTTCAATGCATTCTTTAGCTGAATGGACGATAAACTAGGTATACGGTTTTTTTAATCAAAAACTACCTTACATGAAAGTCAAACGAATGAAAACATTTTGAAACTTCTCCACTCAAGTTTGGAAAAAAATCAACTGATTTGTAGTCAAGGATCATCCATACGAGTTGGAGGACTGAAAACTGATAGATGTTTAATGAAAAAAGTTGCACAACAATGTTGCTGTAGACTACAATGAGTAGGAAGCTATTGCCGTCAAGTTATTAATGCCAGAAGCTACATTGAATAATCACTATAAAAGAGTAGGGGTCAAAGAACAGTCCCCAGAACTTCATCATTCATGACCATATGATCTAACAAGGTTTGCAGAAACTGCTTGCCACTGTTGAGACAGCATAGAAATTGCTAAGAGATTTGAGAGGAATCTAACTTGTACACAAGTTTGTACATCTTAGAAAGTAAGCATAAATATCTACTGAATCTTGACCTTTTCACAGAAACTATTATTGCAAGTTTAAGAATTTACTCAGTTTTCTGATCAGGAAAAAAAAAAAAATATATATATATATATTCTTGCTATCCTTATTAGATCATACCAAGTTGCTGTGAATTTATGTTCTCTCTGTACTTTAAGCTAAAACAGTTTTCATGCAAAGGGACGTGTTTATGAGATATATATATAGAGAGAGAGAGAGAGAACAATTCCAAGACCTTCTAAAATCTTAAACCTTTGAGACAGTCAGTTGTAAAATATATCTGATTACATGTCACAGCCCAAGATGAACCGCTATAGAAATACTATCTCCTTCTGATGTTCCTTATTGCATTTCAATCTAATGCATCCTTCTTTCACATGCTTAACTTGAAGACCAATATAGAAAGTAACTACCTAAAAGACTGTTCTGGCGAGCCCCGCAGTCAACTCATCAAAATTATTTTTATTTACAAGTTCTATCATTTTCATTCAGCCATTTCTCTCTTATGTAACCCAATGCTGCATACTTCCGTGTAAAGGTCTGATTCTATTGTGCAGAATATGTGGACTATAGCAATTCCTCCCTGCTAAACTTCAATTCATCCCCGATCCAATTAATTCATTATATAAGATGAATTGACTCTTCATTTTCTCCCTTTCCCTTCATTTTCTCCCTATAAACATGCAACAATGACTCTTCTTCTTCTTCTTCTTCTTTTTCCCTTGGGGTGAGGGTTAAAATGACAAGTTGACAAAAAGTACCAAAACAGGCACACTTCATTTATATAAGATGAATTCCATATAGTCAGCTCGCAGTTTTCTTTGAGGTGACACATTCAGAGACAGTATCCAGATACTAGAAATTTCCCTCACATCAGAATCCCATAACTTCAATATGAGACTCAAATCTCATACTTAGCATCTGGGATCTAACAAATCTGCAGCAACATTTCGCCACATTACAGGTTTTATGCATGATTAATTCTTTCAGACATTTTTCACATATAACTTTCAATAAAAAAGTTTACAAAGATTCCTTTTGTGGATGGATTTTATAGATTCTAGACCTGATATATTTCTACCATTGATTATAACCTCAACTTTATTTAATCAATGCAATAAAGAAGTTAACAAAGATTCCTGTTTTGTGAATGGATTTCATAGATTCTAGACTTGATACATCTCTGTTATTGATTATTACATCAACTCTACATGTTCAATGCCAGCAACAGATTATTCTGTTGAATAGAAATTTAAGGAAAGTTGAATATGCTTTACTTTCAACTCCTCTGTTCTCAAGCAATGAAACAAATCCAAAAGTCCTTCAATGACTTCATTTATTTTGTCAGGAAAAAATCCCAACTTTCTAAATCACTCGTGATTCTTCAAATGGAAGTGATAGAGGAAAGTTGCATATCAGCCGGAGCCATTCACACAAAAAATAACTAGATGGCCTCTTCTTTTAGCAGTATAAACCCTGGTTTTAATGTTTTTCATGGGTGACAGGTAAGCCCATTAGAATCATAACTTATTTATCAGGCTCCAAGCTGACCTATTAAAATTCCTATTAGGCTGTTTGCATATCAATTCCATTTGATCTCATGTAAGATCAACCATGAAAGGCCGCATTAAGAGTTGCAATGGTGCATCACAAGTGTATACACAGACCTCTACACTCATCAGAATTATGGTAAAAATGGATTTAAATTTTTTTTTCCTACCTATTATAGCTTTGGCACACAGTAAGATTCTACAGATCCAAGATGGCATGTATACGAGCACCACCAAACAAAAAATGGGGGGCTGGTTTGACCAAGCAATCAAATAGACTACTTGGCCAAACCAGCCCCCCTTGATTAAAGTGGGAAAATTATTAAAGCATTTTGCCACTTGTTCAGCTTTAACTGGCAATAAACTTTATACATTTAACTTAAAGCTCCTTAATCCTGTTATAAAGAATCTACATTCTTCCATAATTAAATTTCAGTATCTGTCAATATGGAGAATGAGAGTAAACATTAACTTATTTGCTCCCGTATTCTTAATAACAGAAGCCTTCTCAGCATTCAAATTTCAGCAACAAGTGAAATGACTTCCTTGAATGCTTTAATGTCTTTCTGTATGCTTCAATTCTGCCAAAGCAACTAGCCTAACTGTTATATTTATTAATTTAGTACTATGATTAATCTTTTTATTTTAACATCAATTAAGGTTACTTGTAGAAAGAGGGGATGGGATTATGATCTCAAGGCCTACTCTGAGAGGAGATGAGGGTGAACTGAATTAATGAAATTCTGTTTGCACTTTTTGCTTCTCATAAAACAATGTTTGTTTCTGAACATCTTGATCACAACTGTGGATTCAATTTAAGCAATCGACCCTAACTTTTTTCAAAACTGAAGACGCCTAAATAACAGTTAATTCAACACATTTTTAACCCTAGATTGATCCCCAATTCTATATAGTTAAAGCCTTAAGCATAACACATAAACCATATGTCAAAAAATGTAGGGCCTGTGGCTGAGATCTATTGTTACATAAGCTAATAAGGTGAAGCCCGCTTTAGTAGTCTCAGTAGTTGACTTGCTGAATGTGAGCCACAATTGCAGCATCAACAAGAATCTCAGTCTATTAACAAATTAGTCTACTTAACAAGTGCTCCAATTCGGTCATTCAAACTTCTGTTTGTTTCATTTACTCATCATAACCCTTATAGTAATCAAGCAGCAAAGTAATCAGAGCCTGATCCTCTTCATCTAAGCCAACAACATACACATATGGACGAGTCAGTGCTCTTTTGTTTCTCATTGTATTTAATAACAGTAAGATCTGAGTTAATATGGTTATGTGCTTGACTAAAGGCTTATGATACAATTCCACTCTCTTCATTTGACAGGTTTATCTTCCATTAGTGGTCATTTGATTCTGGACAGTGATCAAATCACAGCTAGCGAACAATCCTCTAAACTCCTTAATTAGACTTCAAATTATTTTATTCAACCTAATCCTGCTGCCTGGCATGCCAGCATCCAAGTCCCTGAACTACAACCATCCTTTTGGGTGCCAAAGATTATCTTTCATGACCATAAGTCAATATTCAGACCATATGACTTAGGAGCCTCAAAGCCTTGGAAGATATCCAAAATCACTTCTACTTCAAATTCCAATAGTCATTTATTATTTTTTTTTTAATGTGAATTGATAAACTTTCATTCAAAATATGAACAAAATACAACTAAAAAGAAATCAGAATAAGCAAGAAACTTTCATCAATCACTGCCTTCCAAAATAGTGGGGGGTGGTCATTTATTAATTTGGAAGCCAACCATATTTCTCACTAATCTAACTGTCACTCTCCTGATGTGTCACTGGATTTCAATGTAGGGAAATTTCTTCTAGTTCACTTGAAGCATGGTCAAATTACAAAAACCTCCCATGACATCACAATGCTGTTAAGTCTTGTTAAAGAGTTACTGGAACTTTGCATCAGGTTCTCTAGTTTGAAACATTTTATTAAAAAAAGAATAATTTAGGTATTTACACAGATTAGATATTTTTTTATTTTTACTATTATACTATCCTTCAGGGTGTGTTATGTTTTGAGGGGAAATATATTGTACAGTAAAATTAACAGCATTATATGGAAGGAAAGTTTCTATAATGCAACAACAACAAGAAGAAGCCTTATCCTACTAGGTGGGATTGACTACATGGATTATATGACACTATTATATTCTATCATTTATTAAGCATTTAGAAATATTGTTAATTAAAAGGTCTCGCTCAACAATTTTCAAAAGTGTTCTCTTTAGCTTTCCTCTACCCTTCTTGACAAGACTCAAAATTATCTGTCCCACTCTTCTCACAGGTGCCTCCTTTGATCTTCTTTATATATGTCCAAACCATCTTAAACAATTTTCTACCATTTTTCCTTCAATAGGTGCGACATCCAATTTTTTCAGTATTCACTCATTTTAAATTTGTCTTTACATGTATATCTGCACATCTATCTCAACATTCTCATCTTTGCTACTCCAACTTTATTCTCTTACTATCCCATTAAAGCCTAACATTTACTACCATATCATATTGCTGCTCTTATAGCAGTTTGATAAAACAAGGGAAGTTTCTATAATGTGGCAACAAATTAAGGGAGCCAAATTTAACTGTATAATCAAATGAGGATGCTACTACTACAACAAACCTTATCTCACTAGGTGAGGTCGGTTACATGGATTGCATGATGCCATTATGCTCTATCATTTACCAGTCTTTTAGGAGTGTTATTAACTACTAACATGTACCATATGTCTTGGCAATAAATGCTCTCAAATTGGGTGACTAAAATCATCTTTAACTACCACTACATAATATAGAGACCTCGTTACATATTTGCCTTAACTGCTTTCTTGCCCTCAAAAATTGACCTAGAAGGGATCAAACAAAGTGTAGAAGTCTTCAATTATTGTTCCAATCATCTCACATGACAACTAAATGAAATACATGCGAGAGAAATGTTACTTGCACTACCTTCTCTCAAAAATTTCCAACAACTTCCAAGTAAGTCTATTTTGCTAGTTTTCCTAGAAAGATGGAAAGTTGATATTTTAAAATCCCACATTATATTTCCTCCATGTTAAGTAGTAATCTTTCTAGAAACTACAAAAATCGATCCCAAAGTTTCAGAGCTTAATTTGGCCAACACAACGTGCATCTCCATGGATGGACAAAATAGTTATCATCCTTACAGTGATGGGACCCAATCTACCTTTTTTCAAATAGTATACATGTCGCATGCCACTGACCTCTATTAGACCTATAAATGATGGCACCACAATTGGACACGGATTTTAATTAACTTTCAAAGGTGATTCTTGTAGATCTATGAGAATATATCTGAGCAAACGACCATTTTAAATCACAAATACTGAATTATTACAATAAATCCCATAGCTGCTAAAAACTCAGAGACAAACCCATCTATGCTTCTATCACTAATTAGAATGACACAAGATTTTGATATCACCTTGGACATGTGCTAGAACCAAAACCCTACAGTCCTCATTAGTCCTTACACCAAAACTATCACTGGACAAACTCTGCAGTTTGATGTTTTCAAAGCTAGCAAAAACCCTCATTTAATTACTTAACCAACATGAAATCAGAGATATGAGCATCTATCAAGCAGATCCTAGTAATAAAAGATTTATCTTCACAAGAGAAGGACTGGTTTTAAAATTGATATATAGTACCACTAAATGATTCCTAATTCAGGTTATTCTGATTATATCTGTAAATTGGCAGCTTTGATTATAAATTATGCCAACGGTACATTGTTATCTGAATCATAATAGCAACAGAACGGAGGAAAACAAGGGAAGATGAATAATCACCAAATTACTATTGAGATACACTCAAATGCAATGACTGAAAACCTCTGACAGATACTAAGCTTTGTGTAGGTGACTAAAACAGCCCTAATCCCACTGGCATGAGTAGTCCAATTTTAGGACTCAAGATATCATCCTTCAAGTAGGAAAAAGAGAAACATAGTTCAACGATTTATAAAATTTTCCAAGAGCCAAATACCTAAACCCTAAATTCCCAGAGAAGTCAAAATTAAATCTACATCTAAAATTACAAATACACCAATACATAATACAATAGTTACAAAAACTTTTCATTCGTTTATCTTCATCAACTAACACCAGAATATAAAAATAAAATAAAAAAGTTGTCTATCTCTCCATTTCTTTCTGTTTTCTAAGTTGCATTTATCAAGGTCAACTAGTAAAAGTTTAACGCTCCCAGCCTGTTGCTTGAAGTATCATCATCTAACAATCTAGCAAGCCTCTTTAATAAGTTTCCGTGATTTTCTCAAAAGAAGATTCAAGGTTTTACTTTAGAAGTGCCACTGCTTCCACAGCAATTGAATTTCAACAATACAGATCTCCATTTTGTTAGAATTATTTATATCTGAATTTTGAGATTTCACTGTAGTTTCAAGCCGACCGATCCAGATACATTTTTATTTTTGGTACAGCTCAATGGACACTTCCATTGGTTGAAGTGAATCAAATAATTCAACAGTAGATAAGGAGAAAGCATAAGATCGATCAAGGAACCCAAACTTTTAACATATTAGCCAAGATGAGGAAGTACGCATTGACCTTTGAAAAGAACTTCTGTGCATGGCTCCTGATTTGCACAGCAGTCTTTGTTCCTATATGCTCTGCACAGCAAAAAGTATTACACCAAAAAGGGAGGAAGGGGGAATACAATTTAAATTAAGAGTACATAAAGAAAGATAAAATTTCCCGACAGAAGATTTCAAAGGAACAAATCAGTACAACGTATAAGTCGACAGCTCTAATCAAATTTCTCCATATGAAGAAACAAACAAAAGGATAAATATGCATAATGTTACCTTCTATGCGCTGCCATGCTCTTCCATAGAGCTTTAGCGCTTCTAGGAACTTATCATGCTCCTCCTCTGTCCATCGTTCTCTTTGCTTTGTGATTGTATATGGTTTTCTTGTCTGCAAGCGCCAGCAATCTACTTAGACAGTATCATAATTTTCTAATCCTCTAGCAGCAAATTATTGCAGCTTCCGAATGTATTAAACTCACTCCATCTATAAGAATTATCAAGAACTATTTATCCCAATTAATGTATAACTCTAAATATCCTTACCTTAACGACCACTTCTTCTCCAGAAGAAGTATTAAACTCGCTCCATCTATAAGAATTGTCAAGAACTATTTATCCCAATCATCGATGTATATCTCTAAATAACCTTACCTTAACGACAACTTCTTCTCCAGAAGAGTATGCGTCCATTACAGGACCTGTGCAGCTGGCGCTGCTTCAGATCTTCCCTGACCAGCAGTGGATAAAAGGAACACCTCCTTTCTTCTTTTGTGACATGGAACACAGTAAATAGTAAAGCCGTGGTGAATGTAATAAGAAGCTGATAAGGCGATGCTACTGCAAAAGAAACAAAGGAAGAAGAATAGGTAGAGATCCGTCTCTGTTTCGTATCAGAAGCAATAAGCATTCAAGTTCACATGCACCCAGGAAAAAGATACATATTATGTAAATAATCAGAAAATATTAAAATTTTAAGAATCCACCGCAATAAGAAGACGCTTGTCCGAAAGAATAAAAGAAAGTTCTTTAATCAGAATCCTCACCAAAACGAACTCGACAGCGCCAAAACCTTTAAAACCCGGAAAACAAAGAGAGGTGAAACACAATTAGTATCCAACAACTATCTTTGTCCTCACTTCATAATACTGTCACCGTAAATAATTATATGGTGACTAGAATATCAGCCCTCGTGTTTGGTTGCCGAGAAAATGTAACCACAAAGCAACTCAAAACAAATCATTCAAATTTGAACGCAACTCTACTCATCCGGAAGAATCCTTCTCCTCAGTTGAATTGAGTAAATGATATATTTCTTTACTAAATCCAGGTTACAGTGAATAATAAGGACAAAATTGTTGAAACAAAATAGTTATGCAGCTTCTTTCTCGGGAACCAAAAGGGAGGTAAAAAGGGCGAATGAAGGAGGACAAAGAGGGAAAATAAGAGAAAAAGGAAAGTTACCTTTAAACAAAGCCATGGTGATTAAGAGGACTATGAGTCTGGGTGATGAGTACGATCATACATATGAATTCAGCCGGACACTGGCCGGGGAACCCATTTCAGGCAATGGCGAATCAGAATCTGACGGCGACTTCGGATCGGAGAAAGATAGCAGTAGCAGAATCAGGAGAAGCAGGAGAAGAGTTCCGAGTAAAGGAGCTGAACCAAACCAGAAACCAGAAACAAACTCCAAACCAAACAGGCAAACAAGCAGCTTCCGAGAGTGCGGAGAAATCTCAGCCACTATAATTTCTTGTGGATTTATTTTTATATTTTGGTGTCATAAATATTAGGGGCTGTTCTTCGTTGAGGCAACCAAGGCTCCTGAGATGGTGCCAGGTGGCGATAATTTAGTGGCTGGGATGGTAGCGCCTACCTTTGCACTTTTCCCTTATTTTTTTCCAGCACTTTCTTTTTTTTTAATTCAATAATTTTTTTAAAATTTATTTTATCTTCAAATCTCATCCACAAGCTGGGCAAACGAGGGCAGAGTCCGTAAAAGCGTCGCCAGCTGTAAGAGGGTGGGCCCCCCCGATTACGTGGCGAAACGGCACCGCCTGTATCCGGTCAGCTAGCGCCCTCAGCCTGGGAGTTAGTGGTCTAAGATTTGGCCACCTCGGCGACAGGCACTCGGGAGACCGGCACGTAGCGTTATGTTTGAAGGTACTGGGCGCACCGCACGGGGCCCTTTATTAGGGGCTTTCTCCATATAATTTATATATTTTTTAATTAAAACAATTTCAAGAAGTAACAACACAATTCTCCAAAAAGTAGGGTCTAATTCAAAATCTGTCTCGAGAATAGTTTTTTATTTTTTAAAATAAGAGAATAAAAAAATTTGTTTCATAACGTACTTTTAAAAAATTTTTAAAAAATAAAAAAATAAAATATTATTTTGAAAAATAGAAAAATGAAAATAACTTTTAGATGTTCTATAATTATTATTCTGGAGGACAAGTAAGAATAAAAAAACACATATTTTTATTATTTTTATTTTTAAAATATGTTTTATAAAACACCAATTCTCAAAATAATAAAATAAAAACAGCTTCAAACAGCCCCATAGTTTTTCTCGAATAAGCTTTCTTATGGGTTGTATTAATTACTCCGTTTTCCTTGTAATTCAAAAAAAAAAGTAATCTTTCAAAATATTTTATATATTTATTAAGTATTTTATATAAGTGTCTTAATAATCTTTCAAAATATTTTATATATTTATTAAGTATTTTATATAAGTGTCTTAATAATCTTTCAAATATTTTATATATTTATTAAGTATTTTATATAAGTGTCTTAATAATTTTAATATATTTTTAAAAAATATTAAATAAAATATAAGTATAGTTAAGAAATGATTATAAAAACTGCTCAATATTTTATATTTTGATTAAATATAGTTTTTAAGAGATGTTATATATCATGATTTAAATAAAATATATATATATAATAAAAAATAATATTCATAATTTATTAAAGGTTCAAGACTTAGCTAAAACTGGAGGCACAAGAAAATTATTGTTTTCAATTATTCCTACAGTAGGTAGGACTTATTAAATGTTAACATTCGAAAAATCTGTATCTAGGAAAATAGGCCAACAAGTAGATTGAAAAATGCCTTCCTCTAAACGAGTTATCATTTTGCCGACCCAACATGTCATATTTTAATGAGTTGGGCCCGTTGGTGCAACCTATATTATCACCTTTTTAGATTTAGAGAAATTCAACATCTTTCAATCTGATTCTAATCTAACCACCTATCATTGACATGATAAAATAATAGATTGGCCTCTAGCCTCTATGTTTTATATTTCTTTAGTTATTGGGTTTGTATGCGTGCTCATCATTTAGATTTATTGTACTTCTTTCCCCTCTAAACTTATAGTTTATGTTTGGTATAAAGGAATGAGATAGTGGGATTGAAATTATGATTAAATAATCCTATTTTTTAATGTTTGGTATGAAGTAACGTACAATCCAATGTTAGTACCAATCCCACCTTTTATAGAATTACCTAATATCACTTCCCTCATGATATTGCAAAATCAATCCAAAGATTATTTTTTTCAAGATAAAAATGACCTCCGACTGTAACAGTACGGAGCCACCCCTTGGGCCTCGACTCGGTACTGGACTCTGGCCCATCACTGGACCAAAGCCGACTTTCCCACAGGTGGTACTGTGGTTATTCCTCACCACTGCCTCTCCAGGGTCTTTTGGAACCTCCCCAGACTCGAACCTCCAACCTCTACCACCTTAATGAAGTTATATATATATATATATATATATTGTTTGTTAAATAGTAAAAATAATTTTTTTAATAACATTATATATAATTTTATTGTCATTCTCATCTATGCTCCTGCAGCCATGTCAAAACAAGTCATTATCATTATCTTTTTTTACTATTTATATTTATATTTTCTTCTTTATATTTCTTTATGAATATTTTTGCTTTCAGTGATTTTAATTGTTTTTGCATTGATTGAAACGTGTTTGAAAATTCAATGGAAATTGTCACCGTCACTTTACTTTTATTCTATCATCTATTTTTCATCAATATTTATTGTCTACTTTCCATTAACATTAAATGGATCGCTATGATAAACTCCTTTTAGTTTTATTTATAACAGTAACATTTAAAACTTATTAAATTTTAGAAAGTTAATGAATTTTAAATTTTTTTGATTATAATGAAACATGTTAAAAATAAATTATAAATAGAATTAAAAGTAGTATATTTTATTTCTTAAATGGATCAAAACAAATTTAATATTATTATGTGCAATTTTATCAATATTTTCATTTTCAGACTCATGTCACTTATTGTAATTTAGACATTTAAATTAACTATGACTAAAATATTTAAATATATCTAATTATGTTAAAATTAATTTTAAAAAATAATATCCATGTTATAATATAATTACTTATATTGATTAATTTTTATAATTAATTATACTGAACATGAAATCCAAACGGGGTTGAGCACATTCATTCTCTTCCACGTACGCACGCATTTTGTGAGCATGAGAAGGAAAGTGATGGACGCATGGCACAAAGTTGACGAAGAAAGCGCCACTTGTCTTTATGCTATGAAAAATAAAAAGTAGAAAGCGGTGTCGCAAAACCAAAAGAATATTTTGACCTGCCTCACTCTCCAAAACCATTTACAAGTCACTTTATATCTTCTGTTGTTTGCGCGTCATCTTGGCTTTGAGCTTTTCTTCATCAAAGTTCAACAATCACTAGCTTCCGGATGTATAAATTACTACCTCTCACCTTGTTAGGTGTCCATGAAAATTGTTATTTGTTACGTTCTCATTTGTCATTTTTTAATTGAAAGCCCTCGATCAAGATCTATAATTTTCATATAATAATATAACACGTGTATGCATGTGTTTTTTGCATGACAAGCATTTAGTTTTTTTTTATTGAATTATATATTTATCATATATCATATTCTTCGGGAAATAAATATTTGCATTATGTTTATGTTGAGAGTATTTTTTTTCAATTAGTATGTGTCTTACTGTGATCTTAAATTGTTAGAAATATTTCCTTCCTCCACTCCTTTTATCACTGCGAAAAAAATGAGTTCAAAGAGTAATTGATTATTAATTATCCAGTCGCCACAAATTTGCACATTAAACTATACTTGTTTCATTTTTTCAAAATAAATGATACCAATAAAAAGAGGAATAATATGCACCATATCCTGAAAACACCAAAAACATGCAAGATTGTGTGTTTTGTGTGAGAGGAGAGACAAGAGCAAAAAGTAGTGGATCAGGAATGGGATTCGTAAGAAAAGAAAAAAAGCTGATATGATTGGCGATTGGTATGAGAGCTTATGGCTCAATCTTCTCACTTCTGGTTCTGGCTTTTCACTGCACCACTTGTATAATAATTTTGAACTTCACTTTTAGTTCTTCAAATGCATGTGATCTTGTAGTATAATTATTAACATTATTATTATTGCTGGGCTTGCATATTCGAGTTATTAATTAAGAAGCAAACGCAAACGAAAAATAGTGCCAGATAATAAGTTGCTATCGATATAACATGAGGGGGGAAAAAAATCTCAAAACATTAGGGATCCAACCCAACCTAGAGGCCCAAATCAACACCCCACCAACCCCTAACCATGGGTCTATGAAGCCGGCCCAACTTCCCAAGGAATCCAACCGGGATGATCTCGGGTTCAGCCCTGTCATAGTATACGCTCTCATATTAAAATAATTTAATTATATGCTTAATAGAATACATATAGATATATATATATATATATAGGTGGGAATAATATATATATATATATATATATAGAATTGTATTAAGAATAATATTATTAGGATGGTCAGAAATAATGATGATAATAATTATTATTATTATATATTGTTGTTGTTATCATCATCACCATCACCCATTGGACGTACCAAAAAAAAAAAAATTGATGGTGACAATGCTGTGGAATTTGGAAACCAGTTTCTATTCTGGTCGATGACCGGCCTAGAAATAAAATAATGAGATTTTAAGGGCCAGGACTTTTAACGAAGTTAGCGAATTTGTTAAAAGTTCTATTAAATAAACGATGATATGATCAATGGTCTTAATATAGTAGGGTGTGTATTACCCTGTAATAATGTCTTTGTAACGTTGGAACCCAATATATAAACTCGAGAATATCACCTGAGCCTTGAATCACACCACTATTAGGTAAAAAACACTCTTAATAGCAATTCTACAGCTGTTATTGTTTTAGGTGATGTTAAAAGTATGTGATTTTAATAACGGTTAATAAATTTTGAATAACTAGTTTATGTTCACTGTTGAAAGTTGCTTGTAGAATTTTTTTGTTAAAAAGTGAGACTTTTAATAACAGTTAAAGTCATAACTGCGGTTAAAAGTGATTTTTTAAAAAAATTAATTCTTTTTTAATTTATTTTTCAATTCTTGCAAATTAAAATGTTTTATATGATTTATTGCCAGGCAATCACTTTTAGTATATATAAATAATTCAAATTTTAATACTAAATTTTATAGATATTATACAAAATTCGAATGATCTTATATAATTTTCTAAAAAAAAACTATCTAAACCTCACATATCATTCATAAAATATTGTGCCCAACTTGTGAGGATGTCATTAACTTCTTTCTCAAAAAATGAATTCGCATGTCAAATATATAAATTAAAGTATAAAATTACAATTAAAATATTGACTAACTAGTTCAAGTAACAATAAAATTAGCTTTTTAAAAAATATAATTACCTCATTTATAAATTTAATCATTTTCAATGCGATAATGTTGAGTGTGTGCCTCATCACATATACACTGTTGTATGTGTGTCAAAAGTGTGTGTGTGTCAAAGTCCCACATTGACTAAAGGAAGGAATCTCCTAGTGTATATATACTAAGGAAGGAAGTGGGCTAGTAAAATGAGCTTGGAGGAAAAGTGGCCTCACGCACATGAGACAGGTCAACTCAGGGCAATCGCAGTTGAAATCAGCAGATTCGCCCCCCCTGCGCGCGAGTTCTGTAACATCCTGATTTTTATATAATAAAGAAATTGTGGAATTTAGGTTTTGAGGAAAAAAAATGATAATAATAGGAATTTATATTATTTGAGGTTATTTAGAAATAATATTATGATTAGGTATTTAATTATGAATTTAAAAATTTAAATTTTAAACCACATAAGCAATATTTAGTTAAGATATAATACATAAATAATTTTTTTTATGTGTGTGTTAAAAAAAAAAGAGAAGGTAAAAGGAACAAAAAAAAGGGGGGGTGGAAGGTTGTTGTTTCTAAGTCCCACATTGGTTAGATGAGGGAAGAGAAGAGGTGCCTTCATGTATAAAAAGGAGGGGGTGTGTGCATTAGGAAGCATGAGAGGCTAAGATGCAATTTAGAGAAAATTGCAACTTTGGGCCCAAAGGTTTGAATAATTAAATTCAAACCTATAGTTTTTTTTAATATAATTTTGGGACTCACAATCCCATTTTTATATTATTTTTCTCTCTTCCTCTCACGTTGCTCGGCGTTTTCTCGCAAGGGGGGATTATTTTCTTTTTTCTTCAGGTATGTTCTAACTTTCCTGTTTAGATTAGCATTTAAAAATTTATTTAATTACAAAATTAATTTTATAGTTATTTTCTAAATAATATTAGCTTTCTAGTGATATGATTATTTTGTAGGATAGAGTAAATATTTTGATTAGGATTTTTCTATAGGATAGTTAATCTGATGATATGATGGATTAAAAATATAGGTTAAAATTCTTAGGGATATAGTAAATATTATAGAATATTTTCTTAAGGTTGAAACTCATGTTTAAGAATTTTTGAGTTAAAATCTAGATCTATATGGTTGAATTTATGTGGAATCTGAGATGTAGGGATAAATCTATGATTATTAAATATTTATTTAAGTATGAATAGGTATTTTTGAGGTTATAGAAAGGTGATTTGAGGCTTCAGGATAATTCTAAAATTTTTAATTTATTTTTGGATGAATTTTTAGAATGTAGAAGGATGAAATTGTGATACTAGAAGTGAATTGAGGATAAAAAAAAATAGTTCATTAGGGTACGAGAATTTTAGAAAAGAATTTGGGAAGTTAAATCAGGCATAAATCTTAAATTAGTGTTAATATGGACTATAGATTTAAGACTTTCTAACTCTTTAAATTAGAGTTATTTATTTTAATATAAAATTAATATATAGTATTGTGAAATAATTATGTAGATTATATTGACAAAGATAGTGGTGAAAAAGGAGTTGTGAAGGGGAACTTGTTATTCAAGACACAAGGTAACCATTATTAATGTGTTGTGATGAGTGTGTTTGTGAATGGTTATGTGTTGTTTTGTTGTTTGGAAAAATTATGAATTATTGAAAATAAATACTGTATATACTTGTTTGAAATTATTGCCAAGTGGGTTAAAAATTTATTTTTGTTTATCATGATAAGATATTATTGTTCGGATATATTCCTGTTTGGATATTTGAATGATGCATGACTTGTCAGGGTATTTTAATGTATGGTGTTAATGGGAATTTCTGTTCGGTTAATTATTACCACGTGGTAAGCCCTCATTGGACCCAATGAGTGGCGTGTCGCTTGGTCCAACTCACCTTTGGCCGGGTGATTTGGCGTCCGAGCATGGTGGAAGGAGGATATAAGGTGCAGTCATGCAATTAAATACTTGTTCGGTTTGTTTGAAAATATTGTTCGGTTAAATGTTTTGTGTGCCCACTTGGCAATCGCATGATTAGTTACATCCGCATGCATCATTACATATTAATTTTTGGTTACTGAGACTTTTAAGTCTCATTCCCCGTGGTTAATATTTTTACAGGAGCGAATCCGGCCGAGAAAGCACCAGAGGTGTAATTATGGTGTATGAGACACCATCTTTTACGTTGCCTCTTATTTTGGATTATACAATGTATCTTGTGCCAACTTAGGACATATCTTGTCTATGGAGCATGTAAACTCTAATCCTTTTTATTAAATGCATTTATATGTCCAAGAGGATTATGTCTGTCCCTTTTGATTCATGACCTAATTTAAATAACATGCTATGAGGATCATGTCTGTCCCTCATGGTTCTAATTGCTTTTTGAGATATTTTAAGACCTGTGGTATATTGTCTTGGATGTATCATGGTAGAAATTTTTCTACCATGATAAGGGTATGATAAGGGTTCAAAAAAAAATGATTTCTTGAATTAATAACTTGTGAAAAATCGGTTTGTAAATTTGAGGGTGTTACACCGACCTCACCAGTCATTCATCAGTCATCCCCCTCTCTTTTGATAAGCATCGGTCATGCCCTCTTGATGTGCCATTCCCTTCTTCGTTCTTACCATGCCTCCATCTTCTTCTATCTCTGGTTTAATGTCTTGGTCAAATCTTTAAGCCTTCTTAAACTCCATTTCCCTGTCTTCATCTTCAAACCCAAGTCAACGGTGCCAACGGGAGTTCAAGAGTCGACCAAATTCCATCATTATTTTCCTTAGTTTGAAAGTTGGCAGATTCCATTATCATCTTGCTCAATTTGATTCAGATTAATTTGAATCATGTCTTAGAACATCAGGTGGTCTGATTTAAAAATAACCACCCTCTTGGTCAAATCTTCAAGCCTTCTTGAACTCTATTTCCTTGTCTTCATCTTCGAACCCAAGCCAACAATATTAGCGTTGGCAAGAGTTTGAGAGTTGGCCAAATTCAATCATCATCTTCCTCAATTAGAAAGCCCATATTTGATTTGAGTTTGTTATGTTTAAGAGTCCAGATCTCATGGCCGCTGAAGAACTAGGTCTACTCCATCGCTTCCAAGTCGTTAGACAACTTCCAAGTCATCTTCAAACCCAAGTTTTCTCCGTCAATTCTAAGTCATCAGATAACTTGCATTGTTTTCTTCATCAAGATTGACACCAGTGAGATGCAGACAAAGCAAGAGCGAGGAAGGTGATCGTGGGGGGGATGGGCATCTCGCTATGTAGAACATGGGCTTTCAAGCTACAAATTTTTTTTTAATTATAAGGGTGTTATAGTCTTTTAATAATGTATGTTTAATCGTAAGATAAGTATTACATGCAATTATTACTTTATACCAAACATAATTTTAAAGCATCAACCCCAATCTCAATCCCTCTAATTTCAAGTGCTTATACTAAATAGGGCCATAAAATTACCAATAATTTCTTCATCAACACTAATTTCTGGCCTCCTGGTCAAGAATTTTATTTTTAGCTTAAAACTCCTTTTCTTTATTTATAAGTTTGATTTTTTTCAAGAAAAAATCGTACTCATTGTTTTGTCATATGTATAATACTTCCTCTTATCCTTTTTACAGGGCAGAGAGAAAAGGATTTTTTTTGTTATATTTATAAGTCATATAATTAAATTTTTATCACAAATTACCTCTTTTACCCTCCATTAAATATTGAAGAGAAAAAATATATTATTAAAATATATATATATATATATATATATTTAATAGGAGCAAAGTTGATGACTTGTTAAATTTTAAAATAGAGTTAATAAATTTTAATTTTTTTTCTTGGTATTAGTGAAATATGTTAAAAATAATTTATAAATATAATTAGAAGAGTACTAGTACATACTTGATGTGTGGTTTTTCAAAAAAAAAAAATTGAACCTTTTTTTGTTTTTTGAAGCGCTGTTGGCTGGGCACTTGGGTTTTTGTGTGAAGTATTTGTTTCTTGAGGTGTTAAGGAACAGATGTTTGTCAGAGTACCGCTATAATTGTTAGGGCGCATGGTTTGTTGTTGTGCGGTGAAGTTTTGCTGGCTCAGGTAATTTGTAAAATACCACTTGATGTTGATGAGGCCAATTAGTATTTAGTTGCAGAGCGCACTTGATGAGGTATGAAATGCCACTTGCGTGTACTGAATCTCGTCATTTATATCTACGTCCACGTTGATAGAGATTTGATCCTCTTTGTGTGGTTTACCAGCAGAAGAGAAAGGGACAAAAAGATGAAGGTTCCAACTATTCATAAATACTAAATTTTGACATTTAATATTAAAATTTAATTGTTTTTTATTCCGTCACTTATCAAAACTAATTTAAATCTCCATTGTATGAAAATGTGATTGTGTATCTTAAGACTTAAATTTAATATCTTAAACTAAATTAATTTAACTCATTTAATCAGTTGAAACAAACGTTCATTGATATTAAAATTTGACTTTTAAATAAGTTTTGAAAATATTTAATATTTTTATTTAAAACCCAGTTGTAATTTCTTTTTTTAAAAAAATATTCTCGTAGGTAAGTAGAGTATTCTTTTTCTAAGTTTACCTTAGTAGCTTTTTTAAAAGAATCACGTGCCTTTTCTTTTTTGTTTTTCTTTTTTGGTTACAATTTGATCCTTCACATTCTTGCTGATTGAAAATAGTCAATTTGTAATATTCACAAGGTTGAATTGTAGCCGATGAAACAGTAAAAGGTCATTTCAAGGTCTTTTTTAAAATTTTTGGCATTTGGGTTGACCAATTTCTGTCTGCTGTTATTTTTTTAAAACAAATTGATTTCGGTGCTGTGAATATTTTCCAAGGCCCGTCACAAGGTCTGCTGGCTATAGCATTCCAGCCCATGGGCTTGTAAAGTTCAATCTCAGCAAGTGATGTTGTGTTGTGAGGCCCATTAATATGCCATAGTCCATAAATTTACTTTTTGTTTTTGTGCGACAACGATGGATGAACGTCTATTCATCGATAGGTTGGTATGGCGGCCTGGCACCCTAATATTAGGTGAATCAGGGAGAGGAAGGGCTTCATAAACCGATTGTTGATATTGAAAAATAAAAATAAAAAATTTAAAATATTAAAAAAATATAAAGATAAAAAATAAACACGAAGTATATAAATTAAAAGTTATGTTTACCCAATTATAATTAATAAGACTTTTTAATTGATAAATAAAAGTACATATAGAAAGGATGTGCATTTTTAGAGACAATTATTATAATTTTAATAGAATACTAGTTTTATAGTAATATTCTTTTGGTTCTATTTACAATAAATATAAAATATTAATTTTGATTTTATTTATAAAGTATTTCATTATTTTTTACATTCAGCTTTACGTTCTTGTCCTTGTCATGGATTAAAGATGAAAATTTATTAAATTTTAAAATAAAATTAATAAAATTTAAGATTTTTTTTTTGATAAAATATATTTTAATTGAGTTATAAAAAATTAAATAAGATAAGAGGGAGTATGTCGTTTGATGAAATAAATAACATGGGATCAAACTATGGTATGTGCACAGTAGAATAATCATTAGTCACACCGAACATGTACGACTATAGTGGCCAAGATTTCGTTAATTTGGCTACGCGTGCATCTAGAAAACGCGTTTTGCTTTTTAGCTCTTTTGGAAAGCAAGGTCAAGTGATGCCGGCCATATATATGTTCCTTTTTCCGAGAGAGTAGAAAACAACATTCCACTTACTTCTTGTATTGATTCTTAATTTGTTTTCAAGGAACAATTGAATTTGACATCGACATTTTATTACATATGTAGTCTTTTAGCAAAGTATTTCCATTATTTCGTCAAATTTAAAATGTAGTCAGAAATACAGGAATCTTTCCTTTTCAATTTTTTCTCTTATCTCTGTTACGTTTTTTTTTTTTTGTGCCGTGTACGTAATTTCCTCACAATTTCTCAAATTCTTCCTCCACTTCAGACTCTTACTGGTGAGCTCTTCATTTTTTGAATTTTGAGTAGTGTGTGAATAATTTTTGTCAGCTTTAAAATTTAACAACAACCCACTCTTGATACTAAAATTCAATGTCTAAATCTGCAGATACGGCATATTGATGATAAATTTCTTAAACTTTCTCTTTTTTTTTGTATTAATAATTGTTTTGAATTTGAACTGCTTCATGTTCCATAAGTAAAAAGAAAAACTAATTAAAGATACTGAGACATAACTAAGAAATGATAAACTAATATTAGCTGAATATATATGGAAAACTTATACAAGGAGCATTATGTACATATTTGTACAGATTAATAATTGAGGGTTACAATTTTAGGGGAAAAAACACAAAAATTGGAATATTTATTGGATCAAAACAGCGTCGACCTTTCAAAATGGGAAAAAATGAACTATTAATAAAGTCGAGAGATATGAAATGCAAATTCCATGAATGTGGAGTCAAACATAATAATAGAGTCATGCTCATTTGGTCTGAGACGTTCGGTTCAGCTTTCCCCCACTCTCTTTCTCTCCTACTCCCTAAATTAAATTGTCTTTATTTTCCGCCAAACCACCGCCGATCTTTTGCCTTTTTAATTTTTTTCATGATTATTTATTACTGTGCCCAGAGCTAAATAACTCATTTATAGACATTAAAAGTTGATTTAATTTTTTATTAAAAAATGTATATTAATTTTTCTAAAATACCCGCATGAATCATTTGCATTGGAGATTACCGCACAGAAACCTCCTCCTTTAATATGTACAATCAATATGAATGACGCACACATATATATACATATATAATTTTTCATTAAACAATATAATTTTTGAAAACAAAGTGAATTAAGGGAAGCCACCAAAAAATGAAAAGGAGAAGGGGCGAGCGTAGTGGGTGACCACATAGTGAGTGAGAGAAGGCGGCAAGGCGCAACCTACACCCACTCTCCTTACACAAAAGTAAGTACGTACTAAATTTGAAAACTCTTTATTGCTTGATTTTTTTTTTTAATTAACAAAACATCGCTATAAAATGCATGTCGTTGTCCCATCTTCTTCGTCAACCACCCAAACATACTCTGTATGATCACTGTTTCTCTTCTCTTTCCATTACTTTGAAAGCAAAATCCCAAATGGCTCCTCCCTTGAAGTCCGATTCCATCCTTACCAATGGCGAGTCCAACCATCTCAAGCAACCACACGCAGGGTACGTGCAAGAGGATGAAGAAAGCTTTGTCTCCGCCATGCA